AGGAAAAGCCATTTGAAAGTAATATGGTTTTGTATAGTGTATGTTGGGGCTTATGAATTCAGTTTAGTGTTTTGTCTATGTGCTTAGGTTGAGTTTGATTTGTCTTCATTCAGATTGCAGACCTTATTTTCTTTCTAATCAATCATTTCATTGTAATGAATGTACCTTTGTGTTCGTTCCTCCTCCAGGCGGTGGAGAGAGAGCAGGTGGACAGCATTCAACCCAAGCTGCAGCACATCAACGCCGTGGGTCAGGGTCTGATCCAGAGCGCCGGCAAACACACCGACACCCAGGCCCTGGAGCACGACCTGGAGAACACCAACCTCCAATGGAACTCACTCAACAAGCGGGTACGCCTTCTTTTCGAGTGCAACTAGATAGTTACCAATGACTACTTGTGTCTTTTATCAACAATGTTTCCATTGATCTTGATTCAATACGTCATGAGGTCAAAGAAAGATGTGAAGGAGAGTTCTACGGACTTAGGAAAAAACATTTATGGTCCTAAGAGAATCCAACTGCACTAACACCAGGCTACATAATTATGTGACAGTTATGCTGCGTTCCAGACAACTCACAAAATTCCTACTAGAACATTTGTATTGAAACGCCCCTTGAATCAATTCACCCCGCCTCCATATTTTCTAGTTGTCTTACGGCAAACAACAATGAAGGCTAACATTGTAAATGGTAAACCCTAGACTAAAAAGCAACCTACAGTATATGTTCATGTATTTCAGTAAAATCAATCAAACTATAATTTGGTAAAACCTGTTCTGGATGTAAATTGATGTCAAGACAGGTAATCAATGTAATTAGGTAGAGGGTTAAAGTAAAATATCTCAAAAAGTTATCTTCTCCACCAAAAGGTTTTGTGAAAAACATTTAAAAAATGCCAAAGAAAACGGGATCCCCCCGCTGGTGAACACTTGCCAAGACAATGTTGCCGTTGAAGAACCACTTCTGTAAAACCAAGCTTTAAATATGAAATAAAGAAGGCCGTCAGTCACAAAAGTCAAAGGATAAGTCCCATTGAGGACCCTCCTGTCCACTCATATCCAGCCACATGATTTCCCATTAGTTTGTTTGTATGTAAATATGAAATTTTCTTTGAGTGCTTTTTGACTTTCTTTTTTAAGTCACGACCGTCTCTCCTGTCCTCAGGTGGCAGAGCGGATCGCCCAGCTGCAGGAGGCCCTGTTGCATTGTGGGAAATTCCAGGATGCTCTGGAGCCTCTGCTCAGCTGGCTGAGCGACACAGAGGAGCTGGTGGCCAATCAGAAGCCTCCGTCAGCAGAATACCGCGTGGTCAAGGCTCAGATCCAAGAGCAAAAGGTACGAGATACGAGGAGAGGAACCTTTTCTTTAAAAAAAAAAAAAAAAAAGCAAAAAGTTATAAGAAATGTTAAAAAAATCAAACATTTCAGAACTCAAAGCAGAAGAGATATATTTAAGCTTCAGAAGAGGATGTTAAGAGTTTTCTGCTCAGGTTAACTTTTAAGTAGATTCATTTTATTTTTTTAAAACATTGCTGATACTCGGATGCCCTCAGTGTCCTTCAATAACAAACAATAGGTATTTGAATGACAAAACACACACACACACACACACACACAGCGTCAATGATCCATCTGCCTGGCATCCAAAGGGCCCCAGTTGACCGTTTGCCAGTCAGACTGGCATAAAAACAGAAACACACGCATGCATGGTGGATTAGCATTGTTTACAGAGACACACACACATTTCCCTGTTTATCCAACATTTACTTCCTGTGTTTGTGCACATAACTGTGCAGCAGTCCTGACCGGCGATCAATCACACGTGTTTACATCCGTAACAAAGGGTGGTGTCACTGTTTGGCTGAGAGAGTGTAAAGGAGTGCATTCCTGTTGGTTCAAAGAGAGGCTGCTATCAGGAAGGAAGGATGTCCATTAATGTATGTTGTGTTCTGATCTGAACTGTTTTATCCCTTGTTGAGTGAATTACAATTTGTTATGTGTCTACCATATCAAAAGTAGCACCCCCCTTGTTAAATGTTTAAAAACAGATTAAGATGGTGAAAGATCTAGTCCCATGGTCGAACCTAATTCAGAAACTGCTGTTAAGAAAACCCTCTTTGGTCTTTATTTCCTCCAATACCGATGTGTTTCTCCTCCTCCAGCTGCTCCAGAGACTGTTAGATGACCGCCGGCCGACAGTGGAGATGATCCGCGCTGAGGGAGAGAGGATCGCAGCCACGGCCGACACTCAGGACCGGGAGAAGATCCAGAGCCAGCTCCAGAGTCTGGCAGAGAGATGGACCGAGCTGCTGGACAAGGCCAGCGGCAGGTGAGTCTGCTGAGTGCAGGGGGGGGGGGCAGGAGAGAGGGGTCTCTGACTCTACCAAGAATATAATAATAGTATGAGTGATGCCTCATCTTTATCTGCATCGCTGCTAAAGTACCACATTCAAACAGAATGAATAGACATTAAAAAAAAACAAGCTTAACAATGTTGTGTACAGCCTGACACAAAACCATCAGTTCCGTCTATTTTATCTCTGAAAAGGCAACATAGATAATATCATAGAAAGCCAAACAGCACCGATTGATCTTGCTGTAAATGTGTGGTTTTGGAAAGTAATTGGTGGTGTTCCTCAACGGCATGTTATCTTGTGGTTTTATCATGTTATCTTGTTTCATCTGTGTGCGGCTCGGTTGAGCACTACTGCACTTAATAAAAGGAAAGTGTCATTACTTTCAGTCTCTGTGGTCTGCGAGTAATTTAAGCAGCACTCCTTGTTCACTTGGGAAATAAATGAGTACACCCTCGCAAAGCACACTGAAGAGGTTTGTATGGATGATCTCATTTACAGTAATGTCATAATAAACATTACAATGTGCTTAACAACATGCAAACATCCTGTAAGGCATGATGTCAAAATGTCTGCCATGTCTCTGGAATATATTGCACTGTCTAGTATGAACACAAACAACATACATATTAGGAGAGAGTCAATACAATCTCACACACACACACACACTCTACTGGTTTTCTTATAAGCAAAGTGTGAGATGCTAACACACACACACAATAAGGCCGACAAATGTGTTTTCTCACCACTCTCTTGCAACAATAATACATTTATCAATTCAGGAAATTCTTTAAAAATGTGATACTATATCATAAAGGTTTCATGAACATTTAATAAACTGTGTTTGTTCAAAAAGACGGCAGCTGTGTGGCACAAAATCAGGTCCATGTTGAGCAAAAAAAAAAGCAATAAAGCAACAATAAAACCTCCTTATCATCATCTCTTTCCCCTCCGTTTTGTCTTGCAGGCAGAGGCAGCTGGAGGAGCTGCAGGTTTTGGCTCTTCAGTTCCACGAGGCCCTGGAGCCTCTGGGAGAGTGGCTGAGTGCCACCGAGAGGCGCCTGGGCTCCGCTGAGCCAATGGGAACCCAGACGGCCAAGATCACACAGCAGATCGTCAAGCACAAGGTACCGTTTGGCCCCCATTGTCTCGCCTCATAAAGAGGTCACAAAGGTCCACTTTTATCTGGGTCAGTGAGCAGGAGACTGGATACCTGCCGGTTTTTGGATAGTGTAATCTAAATAACAAAATCATATCTAAATGTACACAGTCCTCTAATCCTAATTCTTGAAAAAGGTGAGTTGAATTGAATTAGTGAAAGTTGTGTCTTCATAGAGAACTTTACTAAATCAAGATATGTTGATGGAGACAAAAGCAATCGTTCACAAGATCATAGATTAAGACTCTCTGATCGATCACAGTGAAAGAGTATGAGAATACTTATGTGAACAAGTAAATAAAAACAATTTCCTTAGATTTTTAAACATTTTGTACATGTGATACATTTAAACTACATTAGCCACATTTATAATTGTAGGCAATCCATGTATGTATAACCTAAAACATGGTCTTTTTAATCTAATTCCATATTTTAAACAATATTACAGACCATAAAAGTACAATTCTTTGCAAGTAGTGTATCATATTTTACACACTATTTAATGATTTCATGCAAGCACATGTATTACCTTTTGAAATATAGTTGGTATTCCAGTTATGCAGCTCGCCTTTTGCACGGACAAATAACATAGAGAGCACATACAGTGCTCCATCTCGATAATACCCTTAATCTAAGCTACTGTAACTCAATGGAAACATGCTGGAAGAGGAAGCACGAGGCACAAAGCAATCATTCACGACCCCAACATACGCTTTACAACATGCATGCTACGTTTTTTTTTCATTCCAGTTGTTTGTAAGTCTTGGTTTTATTTTATATTTTATTTCTAAATGTGTTATTATTACAAATGGAAAACAAATGGATATACTGTACTAGCAATGAGAAAATAATTTGAAAAACACATATGGTACACATTCAAAGCCAGGAATAATAGAAGAAAAAGAGTAATAGGGAAAAGAGTAATAGTGACTTGTATTGAAGACAGTAACTCAGCCTTATCTTCATCTCAGTTGATATATAGTATTTTTGTAATATGTTTACAAGGGATAGCCATAAAAAGGACATCATTTAACTGTAAACATCCAGAAAGGGAACGTTTTATGAGGAAAATAATACATTTAAAAAATGCTGGTAGCAGTCTGCCGCACACAGTGCCAGACATGTTAGACAGAGATATTATAAGTCAAGAGAGAACAGCAAAGAAAAAAAGTTTCTTGTAAAAATATCTTAACTAAATGAGGAAGCAGATGTTAATCATAAAGCACCCATTTTTGTTTTGTTTTTAAGTTTGTTTTAAGTTGTTCTCATTCATTTATTCTTTGATGTTTATGCTTTCCTGTCAATCTATGATTTGTCATTTGCATGCTCACATTTTAAGTTTTGATCCATCTTTTTGTTCTGTTGTTTTGCTGTCCTTTTCTCACTTCCCTTCACCCTGCCCTCAAACACACAAACACACACACACACATACACACACACACAACTCCCAGGCGATCCAAGAGGAGATCTCCTCACGTGAATCTGAGGTTAACCACCTCGAGTCCGTCAGCCAATCGCTGACCCCGCTCAGCTGCACGGCCGATCGCAATTGGCTAAGCGAGCGCGTGGGGGCGGTGAGGTCCAATCACTCGGAGCTCACTGATTGGTGCTCCCGGCGAGCGGGCATGCTGGAGCAGGCGCTGGCTAACGCCCAGCTGTTTGGGGAGGAGGAGGTGGAGGTGCTGAACTGGCTGGCAGAGGTGGCTCAGAGGCTGGCTCAGGTCTCCGTGCAGAGCTACCAGCACCAGCTGCTGGCCGAGCAGCACAAACACACCCTGGTACGCCCTCACGCACTCTCTGAATCACTCGTTCTCCTTCCAAAACATGGGAGCAGTATTTAGTACGTTTATTAAGAATAATATACAATATATCAATAATTATAAAATTACATTTTGAATCGATTCAAACTGCACAGATATTTCATTATAAATGTTGACATTTCAAATTAAATTATATATTTAATTATTTATATATTCATCTTTCTTGTAAACTTTTTTTTTTTTTACTTATAATAGTTTTAAAATATATATTTTTTATAATAGTTACATTTTTGCTCCTTTTCTTACAAATTAATTATTCAAACACGTAAGGAAATGTCTTGTTTGTTTGCCACCTTGGCAAAAAACCTGATACTGATTCTGAAGTAAATACACTTTTTTTGTATTTAAATACATTACTTGAATATCAATGTATGACAATATATATACCTAAAATAATTCACGTAATAATTTCCTTCAGTATTTTATTGTATTAGGATGTACTTCTCTTATACGAAGACCTGTAGCACTACTGGTGTAGTTTATTTACTTCAACTTTTTTGATCAGTTTCTTAAAGGATGCTCACTGTACATAAGACTTTGTTCTCGGAGCCAAAGAGAAAATATCTTACTAGATGTTAAACCCGCTCTGTTCTCCCCTCAGGCTCTAAATGAAGAGATTGTGAGCAGGAAGAAGACGGTGGACCAGGCTATCAAAAATGGACAAGCTTTACTAAAACAGACCACAGGTAATCTCAGAGCCCTTATGTTCTACACTTAATTTAAACTCTATTGCAATCTAAATGTGTGCTTAACATGTCTGAAAGTGTTAAAGTATTGTATTTAATTCGATTCTTAGAAAGAAGATATAAAAAGCAGTCAATATTCTGTAAAATTGTAAATGATGTTGTGAAACCTAGTGAAAAATCCCCACCCATCCAATAGTTGTTGTAGATTCATATCCAAACACCAAACTGTAACATCTGGTTTGTCTCTCTGTCCTAATGATATTAGCCATGCTGACTGCTGGCACTATTAGTAGATCATTGTCGGTCTATCCCATAATAACACTTTTTCAGACCAATGTTGTAACAACTAGAGGTACTGTCAAGCCCAAGAAGCTGTGAGATTTGGCAGAACATGCTTACAACGAGGAATTTTAGGAGATAATCAAGAAATGAAGAGCCACAAATTAGAAAGGGATTTGATCTGGTGTGTCGCCTGCAGGAGAGGAGGTCCTGCTGATCCAGGAGAAGCTGGACGGCATCAAGTCGCGCTACGCTGAGATGACGACGGGCAGCAGCAAGGCGCTCCGCACGCTGGAGCAGGCCCTGCAGCTGGCCACACGATTCGCCAGCGCCCACGATGACATCAACCAATGGCTGGATGCCGTTGAGGCGGAGCTTAACAACGTGGAGCCCGACGCAACACCCGCCTACCAGGAAAGACAGAAGGTGGGAAGAGTTTAAGACAGATTTTTATATATTTTTGCAATGATTTTGAAGACACTATAAAACAAAAGGGTATGCAGAAACTAATTTGTGACTTTATGTTTTTCAAGTTAATGCAGTTAAGTGATGCTTTTGATGGTGTTTTCACTATTTGACATTACAGTCTGCTTCCTGGTATATTATTAACATGGCTGTGAGTCACTTAGTTTAAAATGAGTGTTTGGATCAATATCTATACATTGCATCTGTTCTCTTGTACACTCATTTATGGATTTGTGTTATAAAATATTTGTCTGTTGAAGATGCAGTTTATTTTAGCATTATGGAGTTTTGTGAAAGTGACTCCCGCTGGGGCACTTGAATGACAGTCTGTAACCGAGGTGTTAAGTTGATCAAACTTTAATCATCCACATTTTACACTTACTTTTGGTGACAGCTCCTGTCGGTAATGACATTTTCATCCTCTCCAGTATCAACCCACTCACAGTTGCCATGGTGACATTGATTTCTTGGAACTCAATTACAGTTTATCATAGCTATTGAATTTATTTAGAAATGATTGCCGTTTCATTTGTTGCTGCCATCCAGTTGGTTTCACTCTATAACGCCATTTTCAGCATTTCAAATGTAATACGTTTTCAGTTTTTAAAAGACAAAAATTCTCCATTTGATTGCAGCTTCTTTTTCTGTAAACAAATCCTTATCTTTGACTTTTGCAGGAGCTGAAGAAGGTGTCTGCAGAGAAGCGCCTGGTGCTGGACACGGTGAACGAGGTGGGCAGCGCTCTGCTGGATCTGGTGCCGTGGAGGGCCCGCGAGGGTCTGGACCGCCTGGTCGCCGACGCCAACCAGCGCTACCGCCAGTCTGATGAAACCATCAGGCAGCGGGTGCAGCTGGTACAAGCTGCCATCCAGAGGTCACAGCAGGTACTGCAACATATGTGCAATAAATGTTTTGCTCAAATTCCATTCATTTAATGTATTTTACTGTGAGCACCAGGGACATTAGAATATATACAATCAACGTAATTAATACAAAATAAAATATTGATATGTTATTTACATCCACATCTCGTAAACAATCCAGCACTTCTCTCACTATCAGTTAGAAAAACATTTATTTGGGAACTTTTTAGTTATGTCTAACTGTAAAAAAATAGTTCCCAAAGAAAATGTATTACGGTTTTAATCCTTTATCTTATATTTTTAAATAAACATGGACCATGCTTAAAAATACTTTAAACTCAATAATAGAAGAAACCATTTATGCCAGATTTATTTATTAGCTCATTTCTCATTCTCATTCTCAACCTGCCTAGACTCTTATTTTAAGTGTAATTCATTTGTCGTAAGTGAGACAACGAAATTAACATAGTGAAATATCAATTTGACTGATGCCACTATTATCACTTTTTTAACCTGCTGAACGCTAACTTCTCCATCTTTCAGTACGAGGAGGCGGTGGATGCAGAGCTGGCCTGGGTGGGGGAGACGGAGCGTAAACTGACGTCTCTGGGGCCCCTGAGCTTGGAGCCTGACGTGACCGTGGCCCAGATGCAGGTGCAGAGGGCCTTCAACATCGACATCATCCGACACAAAGACACTGTGGATCAGCTGCTCAGCACCAAGGAGGACATCCTGGAAACCTGCAGCGACGCCCAGAAGGACGCACTGATGGTCAGTCACTGAACATGAGAAACTAAACTAATCAAACTTACATGGGATCTTTGGAACTGATATCTGCATGTCTTTACATTTCTCCTTCTGCAGGTGAAGACAGATTCGCTCAGCGCTCGATATGAAGGCGTGAATCAGATCCACAGCGAGCGGTTCTCAGCTCTGGAGCAGGCCCAGGTTTTGGTCGCTCGCTTCTGGGAGACACACGAGGAACTGGAACCATGGCTGGGCGAGACAGAGACCCTCATCACGCAGCTGCCCCCGCCCGCCATCGACACCGACGCCCTCCGCCTGCAACAGGACCAGATGAGGGTAAGAGACGATGTCAAGTCTGTTCTCTTATTCCAGCTGAAATGTGTATTTTGTTCCTCACTCTCTTTCCCTTGCCTCTCCAGCTGCTGAGGGAGTCCATCGCAGAGCACAAGCCCCACATTGACAAGCTGCTGAAGATCGGACCCCAGCTGGCCGAGCTTAGCCTCACAGAGGGGGCGAAGGTGACGCAGCGCTACAGCGAGGCCGAGAGGCGCTACCTGGCCATCAAAGAGGGGGTCAAAGGTCGTGCGACAACCTTAGACGAGGCCGTTTCACAGTCATCACAGGTACGTCTCAGAGGAGAAACTGCTCACTGTTTAAAGAACTGTTTTAACTGCAGACCTGGGTCTCATAAATTAGTATTTAATCTACTTGGGTACCAGAAAGTCTGAAGGCTTTGATGAGTTGTTTTAAAGTTAATTCAGTAAGCTTGAATTATATTTTGTGTACGATTTTATCTCATTTGGTCCACTTTGCACCCCCAATTTTGCAGGGAGGGAATGATTTGCAAATTGTAGTAAACTTGTAAACGCTGTTTACAGCTTGTTAGATCATGTCTGCAGCCCAAGTCAAAACAGTCTGATGTGATTCAAAAGCAGCATGAAGTGTGCGTTTGTGTTTGCTGCTGGAAACTAGAGGATAATAACTAATTAACATGCATTCATGTCATGAGATCAGTGAAAGCTTATTTTTTATTTACTGTCTTTTTTGTAAACACAGAATAGGTGAAGACTGGGAAAATGCAGCACAATCAGTTGAAAACATTACAAATATATATGTTTAAAAAGCTCAGGTACAGTTGACTGCATATAAAAGAGGTCAGACAAAGAGTGAGATATTGTTAAGATCCTAGATGTTTATAACAATCCCGTTTTCCAAATATTTATCTCCCTTCTCCTTTTGAAGTCATAGTCAAAGTTATTTTCTCCATTAAGCGCATAGAGTTCATGATGTTAATAAATACAATAAGCAATGAAGGGGGAGTTCCCCTGGAGCTAGCAGTTTGTAATATGTTTTAGTACTTGCGTAAAAAATAATCCTCAAAAGTTATGTATCCATTTTATTGAAAACTTTTAGGGATATTTCAGCGGTACATTAAAATGAAGGAAAAGTCAGATTTCAGATGTAGAATCCCTGAGAACATTTTGTACAGTTTACAATTTTTGAACTGAAATATTATTAGAAAGAGCTAAAACATACATCCTAGGGAAACTATTGCTCAGCCAAAACGTTCCATTTTTCTTATCACAACGTCTATGTCTTTTAGTGCTAGTTATCTTTCACCTATCCTTACACTTCATCTCATGAGACGTCATTGAATCACCTGTGTGGCAGCCTTACGTGTCGCTGCCTTTCGATACTGCCTGACACTGTGTACTGTATGCATGGCTCTGATTTAACTCATTGTAATGTTTCTCCACCCTCCTCCACCCCCATCACACCAATCCACGTGTCTCTTCCTCCACCTGCACACTGTCCCCATCCCTCACTCCATCCTCACCTCCCACCTCCTTGTTGTCTCTCCTTCCTCATCCTTTACACTTCATCTAAATCTCCCTCACCTTCATGTCCACCCCCCATCCTTTGCAACCCTCCACCATCCCATCCCTTGTTCATTGTGGATGTGCTGTGTGTGTTAACCCCCCCAACCACCAACATTTTCTGCGTCATCACTGCTCACTGCATCACCCAGCTGGTAGAGGTAAGACCACAGACTGACTTCGACCAACTGGCACTCAGGGGCGGCTGCGACACCTGATTTGGTTTATTAGTCAAATATGAGTCAATACTTAGATGTTTAATCAGACTTTCTTTTAACTAATTCAGTTCTAATCTGGCCACAAAAAGTCTTAATGTAGCTCAAATGCTCAAGTTTGTCTTGACATTACTGAGTACAAATTTTAAAACCACAATGTAATATAAAATCTACATAATGGTCCGGATCATGTGAATGCCAACCCTGAGTGTCATTCAATTCAATTGGTTAGGAAATGTCTTTTTTTGTAATTTTGTAGATTGAAATAAGCCTAAAAATTAGACATGCTTTCTATTAAGGATTATTTTAGTCTCATAATAGGCTTGATGTATGTCCTTGAAGCGAGTCATAGCTGTCCTTCTGTATCACAAAATATTTCCCTTGTGTCTAAATGATGTTTGTTGTCTTATGTACTAATAAAGCAAATTGATTGTCTGGAGGTACATACAAAAGCCCATCAATTACTAGAGATGGTACTGTCTTTGCTCTTTTGTTCATAATGTCTCCACAATTCAAAAGGTTTGTGTAGAAGCAGCTCCCTCTTGTGTGGTAGATCAGTCCCATTTTGTTTACCTGGATGACATGCTGAATGTGCAATATTGAGATATTAAAGAGGCCATATAATACTAATCGGGGTTTTCCCTTTCCTCTAGTGTGTTCTATAGGTTTGTGTGCATGTTAATGGTTTGCAGAGGCTAACATCCCAAAGTTCTCTCCAGAGGGAGTTTCTCTCCCACACACTCCCTCTGCCTGAAACGCCTCCATTGGGCTCTTTTGTTCACCATCATTATGTAACAGTCGCTAAACATTAAAGCATTTAAACCGTTCACAGTAGAGGCACACAATACAACTAATAACCTGAAATTGAGCATAATGGGGCCCTTTTAAACATTTGATAAGAAGTGTATAGCTGTTTTACATCCCTGTTGAAATCTGATGTTCAACTCATAATAAGAAAAGTGAATGCAGTGTGCCGCAGATGGCCGACCACCCACACCATATCTCAGTATTTTCCCACTTTCAAAATGTCCCCCAGCTATAAAAAAACCCAAACCCAGCCCCCTCAACACACTCTCTCTACTTCCTCTTTATTCAACTTTTATCCAACTCTCCTTCCGCCCCCAGTTTCACGACAAGATGGACCCCCTGCTGGAGACCCTGGAGGGGGCGGTGCAGCGACTGCGGCAGCCCCCCCCGGTGGCAGCCGAGGTGGACAAGATCAGGGAGCAGCTGGGGGAGCACCGAGCCCAGGGGCTGGAGCTGGACAAACTGCTGCCCAGCTTCTCGGCTCTGTGCGCCCGCGGAGAGGAGCTCATCGGACGGGCTGCTCACGACGACCCTGCCGCTCAGGGTCAGTAGGATGTGCCTGACCGGGAATATAAGAGAAACAACATTCAAAATCACATGCAGGCGTATATTCCATGTGTCAAACAGGATGAGGGATTTACATAAATATGAATAATCTCCCTTATATTTCATTACAAATAGTTTGTTTTTAATAATTGATTTGAATTTCACCTTTTAATGTACTTTTTCTATTCATTGATAAGATGCTGTGCATACAAATTGTAGGTCTCCATCACAGACTGAAAAACATTTAAAATAAAAAAACCTCACTTTCTTATGGACCTTAAAAAGGTTGTACTTATTTGAAGCAATGCAGTAGCACCTACGGTGGTTTGGCTTATTCAAAGTGAGTGTCCTTGCAGGATTCTTTCTTTATTGAGTTGAATTCTTCATGGTTTATTGCACCTTTTGTAAGTCACTTGTGATATAAGCATTGACTTTATGTAATGTAAAAGAAATGGCTACCAACTAAATATCTAAATAACCTAATTGGCTGCCAACTCTTCTTGTAGGCATTCACTGTGTGCCCATAAAAGTGGATTCTTTTATTTAAAAAATTGAAAGAACTTGCTATTATTGAAAATAAATATGAAAGAAAAACAGTTCCAAAAGGAAATCAGAAAGTGAAGTGATAGGAAAACATACCAGGCTTCTGTAATCTGGGATAAAAACATTACAAATCTTATTTTGGGCTCCAGTCCAACTAGTCCACTGACTAAACAATCCACTGTAAGTTGTAGTGGCAGAAAGCCAGCGCGCAGGCCTTGTCAAATCTTGAAACTGAACAGATTCAGCAGCTCTGCATATTCCATCCAACGCACATGGTCCAAACACACGTGTCTTTGTTATATGACCCTCCCTATGCCCTCCACACTTTATGAAGTGAAAGGCCTCACTGTGCAGATACAGTGGGAGTGGACTGATAAGAGACTTAACTTAAGCACTCAAACAAAGAAAACATTATTATTACTTTTTTGACATTACACAAAAAATGACCAAGAAGAATGCCCAGTGAGATCCAACCAGCTTTTCTCCACCAGTCTGTGTAATCTCTGACTCCTCCCCTTTTCCTCCCCAGCCGTCCGTACCCGCCTCCTGCGCCTGCGCTCCCTGTGGGATGAGATCCGGCAGCGGGCAGAGGAGAAGGAGGGGAAGCTGAACGATGTGTATGACCTGGCCGGGAAGTTCTGGGCCGACGTGGCGGCGCTGCTGAGCACGCTCCGAGACTCCCAGGACATCGTGAGGGAGCTGGAAGACCCCGGCGTGGACCCCTCACTCATCAAACAACAGATCGAGGCTGCTGAGGTATGGAGGGCCAGAGGGAGGGGCTTAATATAAACAGTCGGCAGAGCAGAGGAACAGAAGAGCCAATAGTGTGTTTTTACTTTGAAGGACTCAGTACTCTTTCTCTCCTTCCACCAGGCGATTAAGGCAGAGACCGACGGCCTGAGGGAGGAGCTGGAGTTTGTCAGGACCCTCGGAGCCGACCTCATCTTTGCCTGTGGAGAAACTGAGAAACCTGAAGTGAAGAAGACCATTGATGAGGTGAGAAATCAATAGTAGTTGAATGTAACTAAGTACATTTACACTAAAGTACAATTTATTTTTTTTTTACTTTTAAATCCTCTACATTTAGCTGAAGTTGCTTTTCAGGTCAATATTTACATGTAAAACATATCATCAGTTTAAAAAATATTGTGTATTCTTATAAGTTGCAAGCCAGTACTAGTAGTTTAAAATGCTGTAGCTCTACCACCACAACGTTCAAATGCTGTTTACATGAATGCATGAATAATAACAAACAAATGTGCTCACTGAGTGGGTTCATTTTGCACCAGGAATACTTCTACTGTAAATGTTGACGCTAACACTTCTCTACCAGTTAGTACGATTTTGAATGCAGGACTTGTTTTGGAATATCTTTTCCTGTGGTATTACTACTTCTACTTCACTAAAACACTTTTAAACAACACCAAGTTCTTGTGAAAAGAGGGATTGGCTTTTGTAAACAAAAGATAATTAAATAAATGATTTAGCCCTGCTACAAGTTGGCCTAACTAACATTATTCCTCTGTGTGCTCCCAGATGAACGCTGCCTGGGAGGGTCTGAACCGGACGTGGAGAGAGAGGATGGAGAGGCTGGAGGAGGCCATGACAGCGTCTGTGCAGTATCAGGACGCTCTGCAGGTCTGTGCACCACTTAGTCTTTGTTTATAGTCACACTGGGCCTTATCAGATGCACATAAGCCCTTCTTTGGTGTCTTCTTTGCAGCAATTAAGAAACCAAAACAGTTTCTCACATTGCTATAAGGTCATCCATAATAACTGTGATCATGTTGTTAACTTATTGTTTCTGTTTTATTTTCCAGTCTATGTTTGACTACCTGGACAACGCTGTGATCAAGCTGTGTGACATGTCCACAGTAGGAACTGATCTTGGAACTGTCAAACAGCAGATTGAAGAGCTCAAGGTTGGCAAAGGCCTTTCATTTTCACTTCTTGTTTAAACAAATCACTCATTAATTTGAATATTATATACAAAACATATGTTTTATTTTATCTAGATATTTTCCATGATACTTATTATCATCTTTAGTGATTTGAGTAGTTAAATACCTTAAAGTCAATAATTAAGGTATGTGGTAGGTATTTGTACTTGCTGGATTTTCTATTAAATGTAACTAACTTTTTCAAAAAGAAAATGGATGAAACGGGTAGTTTTAGACATATGAGAAAACTGTTCAGATTGCAATTATTGTTTGGAGATAACCTTGAGTCAGTATTAAGAACTAACACCACATGACTCTTCTCTTCCTCTCATCCCTCTGTTCCCCCTGAGCAGCAGTACAAGGTGGAGGTTTACCAGCAGCAGATTGACATGGAGAAGCTGTGCCACCAGGGAGAGCTGCTGCTGAAGAAGGTGTCCGACCAGACGGACCGGGACATGATCCAGGAGCCGCTGACCGAGCTCCGTCACCTCTGGGAAAACCTGGGGGAGAAAATCACACACAGACAGGTAAGAAAACCGAGCGTAGCAGCAGTGGGGCAGAAGAGTTCAAATCTACACAGCAGAGTAGCAAAATAATAGAAAAATGTTTTACTGTTACATTATTCTGTAGCTTACCCCATTGTTTATCTTGGAAGTAGTCTTTGTTTGAATTCTGGAGGATTTCCAACTGCTTTTCATACTACCTAAATGTTTAAGTTGCTATTTTTAAGATGAAACTTCTGTCTTCCTTCCACAACAGCACAAGCTCGAGGGTGCCCTGCTGGCCCTGGGTCAGTTCCAGCACGCTCTGTCTGAGCTGCAGGCCTGGCTGAACCACACACACACCACCCTGGACACACAGCGGCCCATCACCTCTGACCCCAAGGCCATTGAAATCGAGCTGGCTAAACACCACGTATGTCTCCTTTTATCTCAACTTATACAAGAGAGTTCTCCTTTGTTTCATTATCTTTTGACATTCTCAAAAGTCCAAAAAAGGAAAATGGGGAGCTAAGGCTGGATATGAAAAACCAGTATATTTATGTTTAATTAACTTCTCTCTCCCTCCTCTCTGTCCCAGGTTCTACGTAATGATGTTCTTTCCCATCATGCCACTGTGGAGAATGTGAACGGTGCTGGCGCTGAGCTGCTGGAGTCGTCTCCTGGCGACGAGGCCAGCCAGCTGAGGGACCAGCTGGACCATCTGAACCAGGGCTGGCAGAGCCTCCTGCTGAAGACCCAGGAGAGGCAGAAGCTGCTGGAGGCTGCCCTGCACCAGGTAGGGGAGGAGACACAGATCTGAGTGCTGTGGAATCACAGGGACACCCTGCCTTTAGTATGAGGAAGAAAGGAAACAAACCTGATCAAAACAGTCATAACTTATATATTTAATAGTTGTTATTTCAATATGTTATGCATGATTGCAGTAGTGATGGTAAAAACAATAGCTTATTAGGTCCAATGCTTGTATAAAAACAAAACAACATAAAAACACTACAGAGCCAAGGAAAGGAGTTAATATTCCAAGAAAAGTATTTTCCATTTCTGAGATTAAAGTGGTACATTTATGAGAAAAAACTTAATGATATATGAAATTATAAAATTATACATTTGCAAGAAAAAATCTGAAATTCTCTAACATTAATGTCACAAATGTTTTAGTTTTTTTATTTAATGTCAAAATAGTTTATCTTTTCAAGGTTTGATCAACCTCATCACACCACAGCACCACTTGCCTTTTGTTTCGTCTACAGTGGACAAGCTTCATTTGAATGAATGTATTCTTTGCCATCACATTTAGCATTAGAGAAAACCTTCTAATTTTAGCCCATAATCACCATATTATCATAAGCATCCAGTCTTCAAATATACTTAGCTGTGAATTTGGCCAACAACATAATTGATTTGTACTTAACTCACCTTTTTCCCTGTAGGCTGAGGGTTTCCATGGCGAGTTGGAGGAGTTCCTGCAGTGGCTGAGGAGGACGGAGAGCCAGCTGTCTGCCGCCAAGCCCACCGGCGGCCTCCCTGAAACAGCCAGGGAGCAGCTTCAGCAGCACGTGGTAACAAACCAGAATCACACTGCACCTTTATGCTCAGAGCATCATCAACAATACACAAAGAGACACCTTAGACTTTCAAATGGTAGATGCTTAAGTCACTTTCGCACTTCTGCTTCATTTTGCAAATTCACAAGAAGAGATTTTTGGAAATCAGACACAGTTTAATGAGGGAAAGTGCAAGCAGAGATGTTAATATAAACTAAAAATAGTCCGCCCATATAATTGGGCCTGGACCTAAGACCCGAGTTCAAGCCCGGCCTGGAACCATTTGCTGCGTCTCATTCCCTCTATCTCCCCTTTTAACTATGTCTCTATCATTGGTAAATAAAAAAATAATCTTTGAAAAAACCATATAGTCTCTCCCACGCTGGGTAATAAACATCTTGTTGGTATAAGCCAGTGTTGTAATGCTGAAGTTATAAGGTATTACTTTATTATTGCTGTAATAAACACTTGTACAATTCTTTAATCCTCTTTCAAAAACAAATTTTAAATGTAACAACCCTGCAAAGCTGATTCAGTATGAGGACAGCCTTTTTCTAAAAATACTATACTAAGTATACAGCAGCTATTTCTGCAATGTCATAAAATCATTTTATAAGCTCATATATTTTTACTAGCAAAGTTTTAAGCAGATGTTCAGAGTATTATCTGACACATTGTGCTCTGTTCTCCTCAGTGACACATGTGGTGTATGATGACTGTGTAACTCGAACAGCTTCTATTGTCCTCATCCAACCATTGCTCACCTCTTAGTGTTATCTCACACTTGTGTCTTCTCTCTGTGTACAGGAGCTCCAGGCCCAGCTGGCTCAGCGGGCAGACCAGTACCACAACCTGCTGGACCAGGGAGAGTCCATGCTGCTGGCTCGGGGGGGAGAGGAGGCCGGACCCGGCACCACCCAGACCCAGCAGAACCTGGCCATGCTGCAGAACAAGTGGGCCAGCCTCAACACCAAGATGGACGACCGCAGGGTAAGACTGGGACACGAGGAGGTGTTTTATTGCTCTGCCCTACTTTATTCTAAAGATACATTGGCCATTGACAGCCACACACAAACACACGCACGCACACACGATTTAGTGGTGTGGAAGTTCCTTAGAACGAGGGAAAAAGACTGGCAATTTATAACACCTGCAAGTCCAAAATAGGCCTTGGAGAAACATCTTTCAAAATAAGGTTAAGACAAGAGAATTGTCCTTTAATTTTATGCATTTTTGAACAAACAATTTATTTTCATTAAAGATACAACAATGTTTGTCTATGCTGTAAATTATAGTTCTTAAAAATAAACATTGGACAAAATCTGAATGTGCAAATCACGTTACATTTTTCAATTAGCACAATTAAATGATGAAGGCACTTAAAAATGACAAGGTATTACGAAATGTGATCTGTATTATTTTTTATATAAGAAAAAAGGTCCCGACAATTGGGTCCTCTCTATGTAGCTCCGTCCTGTTCTGTTTGTAACTAATATCATGTTTCTGGTTTGTCTTTTAATTGTAACTTAACTTTTCAGGCGAAGCTGGATGAGGCTGTTTCCTTGGCGACAGGTTTCCAGACCTCTCTGCAGGACACCATCAACTGGCTAACCCAGGCTGAACAAACCCTCAACATGGCCCAGCCCCCCAGCCTCATCCTGGACACAGTCCTCTTCCAGATCGATGAGCACAAGGTACTGGACATCCCTCTCTCACTAGAAACATGTTTAAGATATCTAAGCCACTGTTACACTATCCCTGACTCGTTTTCCCAACCTCCACACAGGTGTTTGTGAATGAGGTGAACACCCACAGAGAGCAGGTCCTGGCTCTGGAGAAGGCCGGCTCTCAGCTCCGCTTTGCCAGCATGAAGCAGGACGTGGTTCTCATCAAGAACCTGCTGCTCAGCGTCCAGGCCCGCTGGGACAAGCTGGTGCAGAGGTCCCTGGACCGCGGCCGACACCTCGACGAGGCCCGCAAACGCGCCAAACAGGTACTGAACAAGTCATACTGACAGTGGCAAGGAAATGCAAGTTAATGTATGTAGCACATTTCAGCAAAAAGTTATTTAAAATACCTGTACAATCAACTTTGAAAGCTTAGAGACAATAAGCCAAGGTAAAAACACAAAAAAGGACAGTCGAGAATCCAAAACTCAATAAAGATCATAGAAAATGAACGTAAGCTGAACTCAAATAAGACGGGTATAAAATACAAGAATATATAAAAAGCTGTTGTTGTCCCATGAAGACCAAGGAGATGCTGAGGATTAATTGTCAATATAAAAACTAGATAAATACATGAATAATGAAATGATTGTCTGTGTGGGCAATATGGCTTTTGACCTTAATGTCTCTGCTATTGGTTACATAAATACATATTTTCAAGATTTGTTTTTAGGAAAGAGCTGAATTGTTATGAACTTTCATGAGCTCCAAATCATTTATGTACATTACAAAAATATCAAACTGCAAATCTATAACTTATTTTTAGTTCCACGAGGCCTGGAGGAAGCTGACAGACTGGCTGGAGGAAGCCGAGAACCGACTGGACTCAGAGCTGGAGATCTCCAACGAGCCGGATAAGATCAAAGTACAACTGGCCAAACACAAGGTACTGAAGCAAGTTATTATACTCACTCAATATGTTCTCTCCTTTGTTGTGTTTCCATCTACAAAACGTTTCCTTTCCCTCCCTTTCTCCAGGAGTTTCAGAAAGCTATGGGCTCGAAGCAGCCGGTTTACGACACTACAGTGAGGTCCGGGAGGGCCATGAGGGACAAGGCCCAGCTGCCTGCAGACACCCAGAAAATGGACCACCTGGTGGGAGAGATCCGCGACAAGTGGGACACCGTCTGTGGCAAGAGTGTAGAGAGGTGAGAGGATGAAGGAGGGACGATAAAACATGATTATCCACCTACGATCCAGATGTAGTATATTAATAAAGATGTGTTTGCCGGCTCTTCTCCATCCAGACAACACAAGCTGGAGGAGGCTCTGCTGTTCTCAGGTCAGTTTGCAGAGGCTCTGCAGGCCCTGGTGGACTGGCTTTACCGGGTGGAGCCCCAGCTGGCTGAAGACCTGCCCGTCCATGGAGATCTGGATCTGGTGTCCAACCTCATGGACTCACACAAGGTGTGTAAACAGAACTCATCAAATATAAAGGAGTTATAGGGCTGCAACTAACTATTTTTTTTCTTCATCTATTCATCTACTGATTGTTAATATAGATATATCTAGAATATATAAAAAAAGTGTCGATCCCAGTTTCAAAAGGTTCCAGTTGATGTCTTTTAATTTCTGTTTTTGTCAAAACCCAGATATTCACATTAATATGATGACAATCAGGAAATATACATATCTCAGAGGCTAAAATTAACACTTTTTTGCATGAAAATTCACTGAACCGTTATCAAGATAGTTGTCAATTTGGTCATGTAATCAAAGATTAATAATTTAGTTTTATAGTTTATATTTCTTTATTATTATAATATTACAGGATATTCTGATTCTGACTTTGTTCGTCTTTAAACCTGCAGGCTTTCCAGAAAGAGATGGGGAAGAGAACCGGCAGCGTTCAGGCTCTGAAGCGCTCAGCCCGGGACCTGATGGACACCGGGCGCGAAGACACGGCGTGGGTCAAAGTTCAGCTGCAAGAGCTCAGCAACCGCTGGGACACAGTGTGCGCTCTGTCCGTCACCAAGCAGACCCGCCTCCAGCAGGCCCTCAAACAGGTCAGACAGGAAGCTGCTGATATACAGTTTTCAAACATCACACTGTGTCATTAAATAATGCACCGGACTTTATTAAAAGCCTCTCCCTTACTTTGTTAATAATACCTTTTCTCCCTCAGGCGGAGGACTTCCGTACGTCGATACAGATGCTTCTGGAGTGGCTCTCTGAGGCCGAACAGACGCTCCGTTTCCGTGGCGTTCTCCCCGAAGAGGCGGAGACTCTGCAGGCGCTGCTGCACACACATCGGGACTTCATGGGCACGGTGGAGGAGAAGAGGGCGGACGTGAACAAGGCGGCTGGCATGGGAGAGGGCATCCTGACCCTCTGCCACTCTGACTCCATCACCACCATCAAACACTGGATCACCATCATCAGGGCGCGCTTCGAGGAGGTGAGGAAGGGGCGGTCGCAGGGTTTACTTTTTATAAGCATTTTTGTTTAGAGGATTAACACCAGATTTTCTTATTTAATAATTAGAACAAAAAAAGTCTATAATATTTTTTTTAGGAAACAGTTATTTTCAAGACATATCCCTTTTAAGCATGCATCAGCGTTGCAATTGCTGCCAGAAGATAATTGTACTTTTTTATAACGTTTTAAGCCACATATCTACAGTAAACCTCTTAGATATTGCTGGTATTTTAACCAAATGAACGATTATTGTCATATATGAATTTGTATTTGTCAGAGAAACAAGTTAAAGCACAAGCAGTTACCCCCACCTCATGTGTCCACCAAACTACATTCGAAATACGCAGACTTTTAACGTGAAACTGATTTATACAGTATTTAGTTTTATTCCCAAATTCCCTTTGTATTGAAGTGGAGGAGACCTATGCAGATAATTTGGTTGGTCTGTTTGAAAATCTCCTGAAAAATGATCAGTAGAAACCGACGACTTTGACAAATTACCATGTTCCCATGCTTCTATCAAATTCTTTTTTTCGATTGAGAGACCCCTTAGTGGCAGAAAATTACTGTGTGTTTAAATATTATTTTAAAGGTTGTCATTTAAACATTTGAGCATTCCGGTTTAAGATCTAGAAGACCCTAAATGTATTTTCCCTCCTCTCAACCTTTATTTCCATAGGGATAGAATGACGACATGATATGCATTTCTTATGTTAATCAGCTCAATTTGCTCTACAGGTGCTGACGTGGGCCAAACAGCACGAGCAGCGCCTGGAGACGGCTCTGACCGAAGTGCTCAACAATGCCAACCTGCTGGAGGAGCTGTTGTCATGGCTACAGTTTGCTGAGACCACATTGGTCCAGAAAGACACAGAACAGCTTCCTCAGGACATCACACAGCTGAAGACACTCATCACAGAACACCAGGTGGGCTGACCCAAACAGCCAAACATTAGACCTGCCTGTGTTTGTACACTCCAATAACAGTTGTGTGGTCCAGCTTTGCTTACTAATTTCTGGTGTTCTCAGATATTTATGGAGGAGATGACGAGGAAGCAGCCAGATGTCGACAAAGTGACAAAGACCTACAAAAGAAAACCAGCCGAGGCTCCCAGCAGCCTGGCCGAGAGGAGAGGAGCTCGTAAGCCACCTGTGTTTACCTTCAGATGCACAAATATTATCTTCTCCCACTTTTTGACTTTAGCATGGCATGAGTATTACTGAAAGTTTACCAGAAGGGACTAAGAGGATGTGTTAACCCTGCAGGCAAAAACCAGCAGCAGCAGCAGGCGGCCATGCAGGTCTCTGGAGGAAACCCCCGCCTCAACCAGCTGTGTGCCCGCTGGCAGCAGGTCTGGCTGCTGGCTCTGGACCGCCAGCGCAAACTCAACGATGGACTGGACCGACTGGAGGAGGTACATTTCCTGTCAACACGATCTAATTGAGCCTACATTTAGATATGTAGCAATCTAACAAAAGTTAAACCCCATATTGACATTTTTCTAAATATAAGGCCATTGTTTCTATCACTATGACATGAAATGTGTAACAGCACTGACTCCATTATCCATTTTCAGCTCAAAGAGTTTGCCAACTTCGACTTCGATGTGTGGAGGAAGAAGTACATGCGCTGGATGAACCATAAGAAGTCCCGAGTCATGGACTTCTTCAGACGCATCGACAAGGACCAGGATGGAAAGATCACCCGGCAGGAGTTCATAGACGGCATCCTGGCATCAAGTATGTGATGGGTGACAATGACGAGGTGGATGTCTTGTTTTTACAGTTATAAAGACAGTAAATGATATGTGGATTCCTGTTGTCTGTCTGTGCAGAGTTCCCCACCAGCAGGCTGGAGATGACCGCAGTGGCAGACATCTTTGACAGAGACGGAGACGGCTACATCGACTACTACGAGTTTGTTGCTGCTCTGCACCCCAACAAGGACGCCTACAGACCCACCACTGATGCTGATAAGATAGAGGATGAGGTGAGGAAAATCTAAAGAAAATGACATGGAAGATTAGGCAAATGCATAGTAGTCTGGCAGCATTCATTCAGGGAGTTCTCAAATAGATTTGTAATAAGTATTACAAGTCGATTCATTCTTAATACCATTATTATCTGAAGATTAACTCAGACACACTAAGTCTCTAGTTTTTTTTTAAATCTCTTCCTAAAAGTTTTTTTTTTAAATTTCATTCATTTATTGTTTTACTGACGCTGTATTCTCATTTGATCTGCCTTGTTTGGTTTTCTTTTCTTTTGTAAAGCACTTGTTGAGAAAAGCACTATCTTAAGCTCAAAGTTCTTAAGTTATAATTCACTGACAAGTTGTTTGTGTTGTTGTGCAGGTGACTCGGCAGGTTGCACAGTGTAAATGTGCCAAGAGGTTCCAAGTGGAGCAGATAGGAGAGAACAAATACCGGGTAAGTTCAGCTCATTCTCTGGATCAATTTCAAATGATTCTATTGTATAAACTTAAGATACTATAAATGAGGAATTGCTTAGATGATCAGACAAATACAACCGTTACATTTAAGTGTGATTGATACTTTGGTTAACCGTTCATGAGGTGCATGTGCTTTTTAGACACATCTAGAGCCAGATTTATTTTTGGTCTTCATCAAAACCACTACTGCAAAAACTGTTACTATTTAGTCCATATTGTTGCTTTATGTGTAATAAGAAAATAGCATGTTAAATTGCTAGAATTTACTTTGTGAACACTGTTTGATCCAGGTTTGATTAATGGTTATTTTATCATTCATTACCCGTCTTCACTTGTCTAGCAGGCACCAAATAACTTCATAACATGACTTCACAGCATTTCTCTTGTTCTTCCATCTCTCATCATGATCTCATGGTGTATTAATAGTTGTCTGCATCATAACATATCATTACATGTCATGATAGCAATGATATAACATATCTCACAGCCTCCAGGATTGTCAGCTGAGCCCTCTTTATCATCACCATAACATTAACAAATGTAAATGTGACTGCATAGACACTCTGCTGGGTATGACACTGCTGTCAGGTGATTTCCGAACAAAGTAGGTTTAAGGAGTTTTCATCCCTAATCTAGCTACACCTGTTACAGCCAATAAACCAGATTTGGAGGTCATTTAAATTCTGGAATTTTATCCATATTCATCTACTTGTTTTTATACTTTATGTACTTACATATTTTCCTTGAAAGTTAGAGTAAAGTTTTTTTGTTTTTGACAAATATGATCATGCTGACAGGGTGCCTTGTGATTAAATCTGTGAAATGATTGAACTGCTTCCACACAGAAGAACCCAATGTGGGAGACACATGTTTCAGCCTACATAAATACAAACAAGTATAAATACGTAAAACATAAAAGGAGGGTTCTGGTCTTGGTTTTAATTTGTGGATTATAATATTACGTTTTATAAAAAACTTCAGGAGCTACAATACAGTGATTCCCCCAGCAGTCTGTGTGCATGTATGCAGCACTTTACAGCGGTCATAAAGTCAGTTTGTAACAGTTGTCAGCAGCACTCACTGGATGTGCTGCAGTATGTGTTCACTCATCATTATCCTCAGGGTAATGATATCCAGCATCTGGCTGCAGGACACTGGGACACTAACACCACACCAACCGGCTTCTGTCTCATTGGTTGTCTGTCTTGTCTCTGCTCATGTTTGTGTCTAGCTTCACTTTTCTTCACCATTCTTGCCTTCAAGTAACTGTCATTAGCTGAAACATTTAAATTGGGCTTCACCCTATCTTCCTTTGATTTTAAATGTCACGAGGCAGATTTACGAGGTATTCTTAAAATAAATAATGTTTCCTACCTTTGTTATAATTTCCCTTTTCAATTGAAACCCGTGCCAAATGATCCTAATTTGACAATAACCCGAAGATACCCTTATAAGGGCATGAGACTGCAGTGCCGTGTGCACACACAGGAATTGAAAAATAGTAATTGAAATGTATAAAAAAATAACAAATACTAAAATGCATGGGATGCTATTGACATTCTTTTTTCACATTATGTATTACTAGTGTATTTTTATTCATTTTAAAACAACATTCTGCTTTGTAAAATTGTGGAAATAACTAAGATATAAAAACCTAAAATAACTTATCTTGTTACAGCTGTACAATTTAAAAACAACTTAAAAAAAATTACTTTGCACAAACATGTCAGCACTTAAATTCTCATGAGTATGCATAGATTCAGATTTAATACATCCCAAATCCTCTGTTTTCAAAAAAATGTCTCAAGAATGGTTGGTGAGAAATGCCTATTATACACTCTAACATCCGTCATTCATATCCACTGCATCTTTCCACTTACACAACTAATTCTAAGCTCAAATAACAGAAATAATGAAATGTAACCTTTATTGGAACCAGTATTTAAAAGATCTTGTACACATATAAACTGTACCCATTCCTACATTACCAGCCTCAGTTGTCAGTACGTGTTGTTTCACTCCTGCTTTGTTTCTTTCTCCTTGTGTTCCTGTGCTGCGTGTCTTCTGGATTTATGTAGTTCTTCCTCGGAAACCAGGTAAAGTGACGCTGCCGCTGCTCTGATTGGATGTGTGAAATCTGCTTCCTGTAATCCCAAACCAATGGAGTGCATGAGGGGCCGTACAGGCCGTAATTCATACTGGTCCTCTCACACACATACATTCTCCTTTTACATACATATATTTTCACTCTCATATACATATATATTTACACTCACACATTCATACATTTTGCTCTCATATTATCATATTTCAATGCACACATTCATACATTGTCCCTCACATATTTATTTATTTTTTACCACAAGTTCTTAATAAAACTCACACTGTTGGACTCAGTACTAGTTGACTGCTACCAGAAATAATATGAAGTACTTTTACTGTGTACTTTGTGAGTAATCCTCTGTCAAAGTCCCCTCCATAGTAGGCCTACGTATAATCAGGGTTGGGTTGTAACCATAGACTGTATGGTTGTAACGGAATACATGTAACGGCGTTGCGTAATCTCTCTCGCGCAGATGCAGCGTGTCTGTGAGGCCCCGCCCCCGCACGCAGATGAGAGAGAGAGACATATCTTTTAAAATATATTGAAAGTTAGAAACGGAGATGGTTCGATAAAATGTGCAAGATAACGTTTATGTAGCATTTCTTTATTGTTGCTAGTGAATTGTCCGACCGGCCTACTTCGCTACCGGCCCATCGGGATTCGTCCCGAAGGTCCCGATGGCCAGTCCGCCACTGCTGGTTGGCCTCTTATGATGCTGCTGTCTTTTAATATATGATTATTAGTAAAAAATATTTGTATCACTCAAATATAGCAGGAAAAAAAATGAAGAGCAGCTGATTTGAAAAAAACAAACGCGAGAGGCGGCTGAGTGACCGCAGTGCAGAATCGCTGTATAGTTTAAATCTCCTAACAATGTTGTCCATTTTAGACATAGGCTTATTATATTTACAGCCCTTAATAACTTTCCTCATCCGTGAGTTTTGCCCCGCCCCTCCCCCCCCTCGCTCCAATGACCATTAGACCATTTAGTAAGGTAAAAAGCAAAAACGCCTCTCAGACGCTCTTCCGTTTACTTGTTTAATAAAGAAAAACAAATGGTCCGTAGATACACGGATTCATCTCCCTCCATCATGTTGATTTGAATCAGAAGTTCTGAACATGAGCCCGCCCCGCTCGACCTTCTGAGCCAATCACAGCGCGATAATGACCTGCCTTCCATTTCAACCATACTCCTTCCGTTTCCACTATACTTTCTCTCACACATACATGCATTCTTCTCTTGCATACATATATTGCCTTCAGACATGCATACATTATTTATAATATGAAATGTAAACATTGAATGAATGTGCACGAGAGCAAAATGTATAAATGTGTGAGTGAAAAATGTATAAATATGTGAGGGACAATGTATGAATGTGTGCATTGAAATATGATAATATGAGAGCAAAATGTATGAATGTGTGAGTGTAAATATATATGTATATGAGAGTGAAAATGTATGAATGTAAAAGGAGAATGTATGAGTGTAAGAGGACCAGTATGAATTACGGCCTGTACGGCCCCTCATAGAGTGCTGTCCTTAACACGCTTACAAAAAAGTATATCTTTATAATAAATCATGATTTTTCAAAGAAAAGGAAAGAGGAGCACTCCATTGTGGCTTTGCAACGTGTAAGCAGGTTTCATCATCTGGTTGTGTTCCCGCTGTGATTTGTTTGGTGTTGAGTGTGACAAATTGCACAATAAGAAGCAGGCAACATGCTGCAGTGGTGATTAGTGGTGAGGTGGTGCGTGGTGTGCTGTGGACTGAATCTGGAAGCAACTCAAGCTGCTGGGAGAGAGATTTGCTCGGCAGTTTATATAAAACATAGACTGAATATAAACCTATGTATAATTTGTATCATTCTTATATTTGGGTGGCTTGGTGAAAAATGCATTAGATTGACTCTTTAGTTCTGTTAGTGCATGTTTTTTGAGTTATTGCATGAAGTAGAACACATTGTATGTTCAAATCTAGTAAATGGGCTGCTGTGATTTAATTAAACAATCAATATATCAAATATGACTTCACTCACTGACTGTCTCCTTTTTCTGATTCCCTCACTCTCTTTTCCTTCATTCCTATTCTGCCTTTTTCTACTCTGCTCATTTATCTCTTTCCCTCTTTTCTTCTTATTTCTCTCTGTCCCTCCCCCTTTATTCTACCTCCTCAGTTTGGAGACTCTCAGCAGCTGCGTCTGGTGAGGATTCTGCGCAGCACGGTGATGGTGAGAGTCGGAGGAGGCTGGATGGCTCTGGATGAGTTCCTGGTCAAAAATGATCCGTGCAGAGGTGAGTGATTTATTATGTCTCCCACACTGACACACACAGACACACACATACAACCTTGAGACATGTCTCTCAAACGCCGAAGCAGAGATTCCCCCTCATACACATACACACACACAGTTACACATTAGTTCCCCTCTTGTCTCACTTTCAGGCATTTATATACATTAAGAGCCCGACTGATAAGGATTTTCTTTGGGTCAGATAATAGTTAGATTGTTTCAAGATAAACAGTTTTGAATTATATCTTCTATATTTTGGTTAATTTATGAATTTAAGGTTTTTTATTTATTTGTACTGTACTTTCTAAAGGTACCCTTTAAACCTCCGAATGACTTTAATTAAGGAGTTTTGTCCTTAACATATTTAGGATTATAGAATCTATAAAAGTAATACATTTTTTAGAGAGGTGGTCTTGAAGAGACAGGCGCTAAAACGGGGCGTTTTGGGCAGTGTGAATCCAGACAAACAATATGAGAAAACTATTGTGTTATAGAATATCAAAGTATTTAAACATGTTTTAGTATAAACCTGAAATACAAGTATGAACCTGAGAACAGCATATGTTACCTGGTTTGGGCAAACATTAGATTATAAAAAAAACATGTCACCAAAGACTCAATCATCCTGTTCTTTAAAGTGGACCTATCATGCTATATTTGAATAATATATTGTAGGGCCATACCTATATAAGGTATATTTATACGTTTTATTTTTCAAAATACCAAACAGATCATGCATTTTAGCCATGCCTCATTTCGCTCTATTTTGCTGTCCTCCAACCCTGTCTTTGCATGAGCTGCAGCTGACCACGCCCCCCTGCAAAGGAGGGGGCCGAGGCACGAGCGCCATGTTACCATGCTGTTACCATGCCACGGCAGCCTCTCATTCCCCTGATAGGTGGAGAGTTGCCCATACAGGCGGAGCACCCCCGTTGTTGACGTCAGCGTGTGTTCAAATCTGAATCAGTCTGTATCAGATCCGTTGCAGCCCCGTTTTTTAGAGATTTGGGTATGGAGGAAAAGAGAGAGGGTTTTATTTTCTGACGCTGCGTGAGTTCCCCGACGCACCAGGGACACATATGTATGTATAAAAGACATCACAAAGTGCATTTTGCATGATAGGTCCCCTTTAATCTATTCTTCAATATAACTTCTTCAGTTCTCTTGCTATTCCTACATTTGAGATATTTGTACTGCAATTTTATCTTACTTATTAGCCATCATATACACTCATAACGATACCGAAGGATTGGTTTAAAATGGGTTTTTTCTATCGCGAAAGAAACGGCTGAAAAACTTTTTTAAGGATATGTTTAAAAAGTCAATAAAGGGGCCTTATTATGTTTTGGGGGGTTTCTTGGTCGGGCTCTAACTCTTCCACAAACACACCCTCCCTGTGCCCTTTACAAAAACAAACACACGTTCATGGTTCCTGCACTGAGCTCTTGACAGAAGTAAGAGACAACATGCAGATGAGTGCGGTGAGCTGAAGGGAAACAGCGTTTGTGGAGTTGTCTGTCAGCAGGTGATGCAGTGAACCGCTGCCCCCCCCCCCCCCCCCTCACTCCTCTCTCCAGCGTATCCTATAGTGTCGTCTACATCTGGTGTTTCCCTCTTCATCTCTTATCCTTCCAATTCTCTGAGCCCTCAAGTTAATCATCTTACCTTATCACATTTTATTTCTGATTCTATCCTGTCTTATTTGATTAATTCTCTCATAAATAAAACCGTAGTATTGCATGGTGCATGGTCCTCAGTTCTCTACTTCTTCCTCCCTCCCACCCTCCCTCCTTTTTTCTCTTCCTCCAGTGCAACACCCTGGACTTAAGATCCTCCGCTCCGATTCCAGTAGCTCCATCTCATCTCGTATAGGTTGGACTTCTCTCTCCCGTACGCTTCCACTCTCTCCTAACAGCCTGTCTCTGCTTCTCTCTCTCTCCTGGACGATCTCTTCCAAAGCCCTTCTCTGTTCTTCCTCTGTGTTCTTCTTCTCTCTCCTCCTCTCTGGTTTGTTGCTGTGCCTTGCTGACTGTGATCACCTGACTAATGTTATGTCTCCCCACTGTTCTGCTCTTCCTCCCGGTTGTTGCCCCTCATGCAAGTTCTGATATTCTGACTTGTTGTTTTAAACTCTTCTCAGGGGTCACTGACACTCGTCCGGACCCCGTTGGTTGCCTCTATGTGTGTGTGTTATAACAGTCTGTATGAGGAGTGGTTTTTGACAGTCTCAAAATGTGTGTGTGTGCACCAGTGTGTTTCTAAGAAGTGATATCTTTATGTGTGAAACTTCCTCCATGAGCATGCTGTATTTCACACGGTCTCTTTTGTCTCTCAGTGACAGTCACTCCTGGCTATTTCTGCTGCCGAGGTATCTACCCTTCCTCTCTCTCTGCTCCTCTGTCACTCCATCTCTCTCACTCTCCATCCGTCAGTCTCCATCTTTAACCTCGGCTGTCCTCTGTGTGTCTTTATATATATATATATATATATACACTGAATGTGTGTGTGTGTGTGTGTTTCTAACTGTGTCAGGTGTGTGTGTTGAGGCATTGATGTCTTGTCTTTGTGCTACATGCAAATCCTGCTTCCTTCACTCACACCAAAGCAGGAGCTGGCCAACCCCTGGTCTTGATATTTATTTTAATTCTATTTTCTGAAGTTCTTTTTTTTTAAATATACTTAAAATGAATAAAATGTTGAGCAATAAAAGAAGCATGGATGGAGAGGCCTAGCAGAAAATAAGACATATTGTATGTAGCAGCCAATAGTGCAATAACTACTGTTAGTGTAATAACTTAATCATCTAAGTTTAAGTTTGAACTTACCTGTAATGTGATAATAACTCAATCACAATACAATACGTTTTAATTGATACGTTTATTATTATTTTGTTATTATGGGACAAAGCCTCTTCAAAGAGATGTATATATGTCTAATAATACATCCTAAGAGCAATTGTCTGTGACACTTAATAATAAATGCAACTTAAAAATAGTGATAGCCCAGCTTATAATGTATTAACCAGCCAATTATCTAATAACTTATTACATGATGTGTTATTGGTCTGTTATTAGTTATAATCATTTTTGGTAAGTTATGACTTAACTTAATATCGTTAAGAATGACGGTTCAGTTTGCAGCTGCTATAACACTAAAACATATTATATTGTTACAGTGCTCGGATGTCTTCTTTCTCTAATGTAACATAGTAAACTCCTCACACACTCCACAGACCGTGAGTGTAAGACCTGGGAGTGGCCAGCCTGGGTTTCTAACTGCGCTGGCTTCCAACGTGGCTCCTTTAAATGTGAAGGCTGGTTGGTGGGAGACACAATTACAGGGTGCACCTGGCTGGGTGGCGGTGAGGGGGGACCTAATTGCAGGGTGCACCCGTTTAATTGAGCCGCCTTGCTGTTTGGTTGCTAGGGACGATGGCTGCAAGGCTAGGAGTTGCACTGCTGTTACGGCTAGCTGCAGCCTTCTATTCTCTCTTACTCTTCTTTTTTTGGACTTCTCACACTACTTTCTCTCTTTCTTAGTTTGTTTCTCTACCATATTTCCTTTCCCTCTCTCTCTCTCTCTCTCTCTCTCTCTCTCCTCTCTCTCTCTCTCTCTCTCTCTCTCTCTCTCTCTCTCTCTCCTCTCTCTCTCTCCTCTCTCTCTCTCTCTCTCTCTCTCTCTCTCTCTCTCTCTCTCTCTCTCTCTCTCTCTCTCTCTCTTTTTGTGGCTGGCTTCTCCAGGCTTGTTGTTGTCTGCTGGGGCTGCTGCTCTACTTTCTGTACGAGAATGCTGCTGAGTGTGTTGTAAAAAAAGAAGAAACCCTGAATCTCTGGGCATTCTCCCGCTACGCATAAAGCAGGCATGACCTCCACATGTTCTCATACACGCTCTGTGAGACACAGCACAGATGCTTCTCCACAGCGAGAAGGAAAATAAATTAAACTGGGAGACATTGGTGAAAAACGAGAGAAGAGAGGCTGTGCTTTTTGCTCCCACCAAACCTTAGATGTTTTCATGCAAATACGCAATGAAAGTATGTGGGCATTTCTTTCACAAAACTGGAGACACTTGCCATTGCTACAAGGAAGGGTTTAACATTATGGGAACTATGCTTTCAGAGAGTCAACGTCATACAGGCTAGCCTCTTTTTCACCACCTTTTTTGACTCAATCTGTGATTACCTTCTATAGCTCTCTGTCCTGCTGTTATTCAATATATGCTTGACTTACCCGACACCCCCATAGACTTATCTGTTAAGCCGTATTGTTAGCCTTTGAAATACCGAAGCTTATGGGAAATACTGTCTGTTAAATGCTCAATAACCAAAAATATATTGAATGAACAACATTACATTATTTGTAAAAGGTCAAATGATGCATATGAATCAGGTCACACCACATACTGTAGATTTTGAATGATTTTCAACAGGCTTTGTGTCATTGCAATGTGTTGCAGTATTACCGGCAACTGGGCCCACTGCTGGCAAAAGTTTACTGTATGTCAGAAACCGTGTCATGTGGTGTTATCTAACTGACTTTAGCAGACGGGTGGAAGGTGAGCATTGCAACAACATGAAGCCGGTTGAGAATTGGCACATATTCAACGAAATCCTCTGGAAGAAAACAGATGAGCGTTTTTTCCCAAACTCTTTAATCAGCACTGTATTAGCAGTTTTGTTATTATATCTTATACGGTTTCCACGGTGGTGAAAAAACCCACTGGAGTTAAGTGGTGAATTTGTCTGCAGCGATGACACTGTGTCTCCAAAATGTGTCCACTTTCGTTGCGTATCAATTTAATTCATTTACTTCTATTTTAGCTCTCAAACCAAACACAGTCACTCACCTCTCCCCTTAAAAACTTCCCAACCAAAGTGCACTTATTGTACGACTCCTTAACCCCTGAACCCCTCACGTGCACTCTCGAATGACACATGCACGGACTTTGAAGTCTGCAGCCAAGGAAGCACTGACTCTCTCCCTCACTGTGCTTGCTGCCTCTGCCGCCCCCTGCTGGAGGAGAACTGTGAGCCCCCCCTAACAAACTGTTGTGTCTCTCTGCAGCTCGGGGCCGCACCAACCTGGAGCTGAGGGAGAAGTTCATCCTCCCTGAGGGGGCGTCTCAGGGTCTGGCCGCCTTCCGGTCCCGAGGGCGGCGCTCCAAGCCGGGGTCCCGTAACGCCTCGCCCACCCGCTCCTCCTCCTCGGCCTCCCACAGCGGGGCCTCGCTACCCTCGGCCCCCTCCACCCCCGCCACACCCACAGCCTCTGCATCATCCAGGGTAAGAGATCACATCAGAGGGATTTCCATGGACTGTTTAGTCCTTAATTAAGTTTGTTTCTTCATAATGTCCACTGCATTCATGACAAAACAGGAATACAAGTAATGCATGAAGCCTAACAGTTTTATACACAACCAACATTTTCTACATTTAAAAAGAATACAAATAAATTAAGGATACATTTGATTTGAAATGTGTCTCCAATTTTAATTAAAAGAATACGTCATCTTCATTGTGTTCACACTGAGATAAAAGGCAAAGGACTTCATTGCTAGGGAAAATTGATGGTGTTTTTTCAAATAAAACACCATCAATTTTAACACTGAGACAAAAGATGTGCAGTTGCATAGCAGAAAGCTATAGAGTATTAAACATATGTTAAATTAAATCAAGAGTTGAGGAACTGCCTCTGTCAAGCTTAAAAAATACAGAACTATATACAGCCTCATCTGCTCATTGTTACCCAGAGACTGCATGTGTAGCCAGTGGGTAGTGTTTGTTTGTTGTTGTCGTCATTTGATGTTCGTGACATTTTTCATTTGTTAGCATAATTTTTCTTTGGATTAGTGTGTGTGTGTGTGGTGTGTGTGTGTGTGTGTGTGTGTGTGTGTGTGTGTGTGTGTGTGTGGTGTGTGTGTGGGTGTGTGTGTGTGTGTGTGTGGTGTGTGTGTGTGTTTGTTTGTGGTGTGTGTGTGGTGTGTGTGTGTGTGTGTGTGTGTGTGTGTGTGTGTGTGTGTGTGTGTGTGTGTGTGTGTGTGTTTGTTGTGTGTAGTTTGTAGTGTCGTGTGGTGTTTGTGTGTGTGTGTGTGTGATGTGGGTGTGTGTGTGTGGGTGTTGTGTGTGGTGTGTGTGTGTGTGTGTGTGTGTGTGTGTGTGTGTGTGTTGGTTCTGGGTTTTCTTTCCCCCTTGTTCAGCTCGTTGTTGTCGTCCTCCTGGTTGTTTGTTGTTGTTGTCACCACAGTCCTTACACTGTTGATTTATTTTTGTTTTTGTTCTCATTCATCTTTTTGCCTCTTCCGGCTAACTACCTACAAAATGGTCCTCTCTACATGGTTGGGTTTCTCGGTTTAAAAAAAAAAAATCACTTTTGCACAAAACACACTGCGCGGCACTTCCTCGCTTTCCAAATGCTCATTCCCATTCCTCCATAACTTCCTCCTTCCTTGTTTGCCTCTTCTCTTTTGCTGCTTTGCTCCTCCTCCAACCCTTCCTTCCTTTCCATCCATCCTTCCTTGCTCCCTTTCCTTCCTTCCTTCAGTCCTCCCATACTCACTCTCGTGACTATGCCAAGCCCTGGCTGACACACAGTAAAACTCCAACGCCATCCAAGTGCCAGTGCTGCCCCGACCTCGCTCACAGCCCCACCAGTCCCGGGCATGAGGTAACACACTCACCCCTCCACCCAGCCGCCCACCCCCCTGCTCCACCCAACCCACCCCCCTGAACCGCTACTGCACTAACGCACACTCCCGGATGATCACACACCAACACGTAGAAACTAAGGCTGTGTGAAGTGTTTTTTTTATGTTTGTATAAAAGATGAGATCATCTTCGGAGAGTTCTGAAACTGTTCCAACCTTCCAGGATAAACAAGGTGGTCGAGCTAAAACATGAAACATGACATTTGGAAGTTGCAGGGTTTTCAACAGGATTATATTTCTAGTGTGTTTTACCAAGGTTATTGATAATGATATAGAACGACTTTAGGAACATCATAAAAGCAGTTGTTAAAGCCCAATATCACAAAACACATCTGTCTCAGTGGGCTTTACAGAGCAACATAAATGACAGTGCTAAAAGATGAAATTCAATTATTAGAATATCATAAAATGACAATATAGAATTTAAAATACAAATAAAACTAGATTAAGATACAATTAGATAAAATATAATACAAAGACAATGAAATAAAATAAATAGTTCAAAATAAATGATTTTGACTTTTCAAATTAGAATTCTTTTGATTTTGGGCCCAACTCTTATCACTTATTTAATGTAGAGTTGAAAAAATGTGTTTTTTATAGTCGGTTTCTTTCTTTTTTTACACAGGGTTTTCATTTATTTTAATTTATATTTTTTATAAAAAACCTTTATTATATGAATATTTGAATGGGATGATGAACCTTCAAAGTGTTATCACTTCTCAATTGCAATCTTTTTTTTTTAATGATATTAAGTTGATATAGTAATAAAATAGCATTTCTTTACTATAATAAAGCTCTAGATCAATGCTTAACTCTTCTTATGGAATATATAAATACAAACCGTTCAAAATGATATTTATCATTCTTAGAAATGTGCGTGTCTTTGTATGGTTATCATTTGTTGTTATATCACATGTCTCTGTCAATGTGTATGTGTTGTTTGTTTTGGTCTATTGTGATGGTTTGAAATACTGCTGTGTAGTTCTCCTCAGCTGATGTGTCCTGATGTTGTTCTGCAGGGGGCCGCGTCGGGGTCCAAACTGAAGAGACCGACGTTCCACTCCAGCCGAGGCTCGCTGAGCGGAGAGAACGGAGGAACGCCGCTCTCCGGAAAACCGGCACGCGCTGGTGAGACAACGCTCACATCTTTTTATGTCCACTGGTAGCCAGTGGACATAAAAATGAGTTTTTAACTTTATTATTTAATCTTCAACCATATGAAGTCTGCACTCATGCTAGCGCCTCTATATGCCCGTAACTAGGCACAGAGGTGCGTTAAGCTAAACGCTAACATAAGCATTTATCAGGTATAATGTTTATCTTCTTAGATTGTTGTTGGTAATTAGCACTTAACACACAACACAGTTAAGGTTAATGGGAATGTCGTTAGTTTTGCGGGTATAGCCAAAATGTAGGATAGATTAAAGTTTTAAACTGATGATGATGCTAGATGAAAAGTTGAAGATTTATTAAACTTGTTACAATTTCATGGAAATCCATCTGAAAGTTGTCGAGACATTTTACCACAAATATGAACCTTACCTGTGGCGCTAGATTATGTTTATACAAAATGTACTGTCGCTCTATGGAGATATCTCACTTATATGTGAAAGCGTTAACCACATGGTTGGGTTGAATAGAATGTCATGGGTCAATACAATCAGAAGGGTTCCTCCTCTGGGGACCATGGATGGATCTCTAGAGAAATCCTCTTATATTTATTGAGATGTTTTAGTCTGGCAGATGAAATGACCAACATTACACCCACAAAGCCCTGCCCTTATTTCCCTTTTAAGAAACGAATGCTCTGCTTCTTGATTAAGCCCAATTTTCTTCTCTCCTGTTCTTGCTAGATCCGAAGCGAGGGGGGTCCACAGCGAGCGGGCAGGCGAGCCGAGCGGGCAGCCGGGCGGGCAGCAGAGCCAGCAGCCGGAGAGGCAGCGACGCCTCGGACGCCTCGGAGCTGCAGGACGCCCGCTCCGTCTGCTCCGACGCCTCGGACACACCACGACGACCCGGGGCCAAACCATCCAAGATACCCACCATCTCTAAAAAAACCCCCAGCCCAAAGACCCAGGGGGCCGCGAAAAAATAATTCAGCAATAGAAAAACTGGAGTAGAAGCGAGTATCATCGGTGCACCAGCTCTTCAATCTGAGTCCATCTAACAGGGCTCGAGGAGAGTTTGTGCACTGTGACATTTTCCAGGGGAAAGAAGGAGATGGATAGGATGGTGAATCTCCTTCTCACTCTTTCCCCGCTCTCATGGACGGACTGAGAAAACATGCACAACAGGAGGAGGGATTCTGGTCCCAGGTCAGAATCTGTGGGGTCAAAAGAAGCGACCCCATTTTGCCTTCCAGTCTCCTGCTTTGTCTTTCAAAAGTTCCCCCCCAAGCGTGGAACCAAACCCCAAACTGACTTGACGTGATGCTGCCTTACTTACTCACTTCTGTCCCTAACAGAATAAGAGAAAGCCTTTAAACTGCTTTATACCACACTGACACAAATACACACGTTTTCAAAGAGAAGCAGGGTAGGGAGTGGGACACGCCACCACCACGGCTGCAAAAACAAAGAAAGCCCAAATGAAATTCAGGAAAAAAGAAAAAGAAAGAGAGAATTGTGGGTCATTATTTTGGCTTGTGGGCCAGATGCCTCAGCGATGAGTCTAAAAAGAAAATATGCAACGACTGCCATGTCTCTTCCTCTGGACTGGTTGGTAGGGAAAACGCTCACCTCAGCAGATCTGTGTGTGGGGAGGCGGGAAAACGTTGTCCGACAGACACACACCGGCTAACCTCAGACTCAGAGGGTGGGTGGTGGTGACGGAGCAAACACTCACACACTCGCACCGCAGCGCAGACTCCTCCCGACCGCTGGAACGTAACATCAGCCTTGTGTGTGTGTGTGCATTTCAGCAAAGGGCGGTGTGGTTTGGTCACATGCCGGCGTAACAATCCAACAGGAATATCACAGACTGGCAAAAGAGAGGACTATTTTTAAGGTGACACTCACTAACAGCACATTACTGACAATATACGACATGTGTAACCCGATGTTCGACAACCAGCATGCACTAATTGTCTCTTCCTCTGCAGTCCCACCTTAATGTCTACGCTGCGTCGCCCTGAGCAACTCAGCAGCACACACACACAAGGTGGTGTGTTTAATGTGTGTCTTTGTTACAGGAAATGATAGAGGTCATTGACATGAGTCACTGTATGCAAACATTTTAATTTGCGAATGTCCTTTTTGTTTTTCTTCTCATTGTTTTCTGGTTAATTTATAATCCAGTTGTACTTTTGTTATCTAGCTTGAAAGAAAAATCTATTTATTTTTCAGTTTCATGTCATATCACCGTTTGCGGAGTGTGATTTAGTATTATGGTTAAAGAAATTGTGTTTTTTTGTACCAAGGAAGTGTCCGCTCCGCTCCGTTTGTGTGTTTCTACTTCATTGTAACATTACATTACTCACTAGGTCGCTGATTCTGGTGACAGCCTTGTTTGTTCTTTTCTCTTTTTTTGCTAATGACTACAATTCCCAGACCATGACCAAAGGGGTTTGCCCTTCATGTGTAGAGAGAACTACAAATATGAATGACATGAGACCTGGCCAGAGCGGACCAATGAGAGCGGGTTGTCCTCCCTCATGTCCGTCCCCAGCGTTTCTTCTTCTAGGCTTTTTTTCAAATGCCCGTCATTGGCGGGGCAGAGTTGTCTCTGTGTTATCTCAGTGTGAGAGATGAAGTTTATGAAAAACGAATGAAATTACAGTAAGAAAGAAGACATCTTAAGGTGATTTTTATTTATTTATTGTCTCTCTGAGGGGAGGGGGATTCGGGGCGCAGGAGACGAGTCCTCCACCTTTTGATGCTGTGCTACTCTCAGTGTGATGGCGAAAACATGGAGGGAGGGGTGTTACTATAGGAGTCAATTGTGTAAAAGTAAAACTAAAAACTAAAATTATAAACAATGTTTTTGTTCTGTTTTTGTATTAAAAATATGCTTGCAGTAAAAACTGTCTCTTGTTTTGCTTGGTATTCTGACAATTTATGTGTGTGAATGGGTTAGGTTTGTTAAACATTACATTATTGGTCAATTATTCGATTATTCAATTAAACCTAGCAGTTTCACGTGCAGAATTAGTGTCAGCGACCTCATTTAATAGAATGATCTGTCAATTGATCAAACTATGTGACTCCAAATAAAGAATAAATAAAAAAGTATTTTTTAGGCATTTCAATTTGGACATTTCATATATAATAATTAAAGGTAAAGTGTCAAAAACTGTTCAGAAGTTACACCTTGGATTTATTCATTCTCTAATAAAAAATCTATATTTATTTTTTGTTTCCCCAGTTGTTTATCAGACAAATAAGCTATTTGAATACATTAACTTTGGCTTTGAAAACGTGCTTCTAATTTTTGTAAATATAATTGACTAAATTATTATTTTATGAATTGAAAAATACTTTGTTGTTAAATACCAAGAGTTGTTTGGTCATTTTTGTCTTTAGAAATGTATCGACAAAATATTTGTATATGTCTGAGTGTAATTTGCAGCACAAATTGGCTTTTAAAATGGTACCATTGTATGCACCGATGTAGCATTTTTGAAAGTTTGACGTTTTTCAGATTTGTTGTATCTATGTAGGCTATAGGTAGACATTTATTTTGTAAGTCTTGGACTATTATCACCACGATAGTTTTTCTCTAATAAGTAGTGTACATTTACATCACTGCCGACATCATTCATATACTTACTTTTACTTAATTTAGAGCTCATATGAAAATGTCCATATGTGTATATTTGTTTAAGTAAATTGGAAGGAGAAACATGGTTATAATTTTGTTTACAGCCCACAGTCACCCTGCCATGCGTGACGGCAGACTGCAAACGGACATTTCTGGGTCATTATCCTGTAACAGTTTAGGACACATCCCATTGGATCTTCACCTAAACACAGGGGACATGGTGGTGGTGATAGTTGAAAGTTATTTTATTAAATTGACCTTTTTAATGTCTATTTCCCCTGCAGCTGTGTCTCACATTCCCACGTTATGTGTCCTTGTGAGACAGAGAGGGAGTATTTGAAAATAGCTTTGTCCTGTTTATTTGGTGGTTTTACCGGAGATGATGAGGTCTCTGCAGCTGTGTGTACACACACTCACTCCTCTCATTTTCTGTACACTCTCAATCCATCTACGCCCGTCCTCCCTGCAGTCCATCTGTCATCCCAGACTTAACTCTGATGACAGTCCCCGCTCTGTTCCACCACTTCTGTCTCTAAGGAATGTCATTTTTCAATTTCACTTGGGTTAATATGGTTTCAAGGGCATTCAGCTCCCCTTCATTCTTCAGTCTTCACTCTTTGTCACTCCCTCTCTGTTCTTTCACCTCCGCCCCTTCATCTTCTCGCACTCCTTTCACCATTATCAGACGGAACTTTACTGAAGTTGCAGATGTACAAAGTAAAGAAAAACTAAATGGGCAGAGCGTTAATTCCTGGCATTTCGGACTCGCCCTTTCGGCCAGGACAAAATGGACCGCGGTCAGTTTGGTTTGGTCAGTGTTATTCATGCCTTTCAAGTGACCACAAGTACCAAGCCGCTTTGAAGAAAAGAGTACACAAACACGGGCTGGCACAGGGCTGAGCCTCTACTATATTTGAGTCATATTCTCCCTGCAAGTTCTTTCGGTTTCAACACGCTCATGCACACAGCACAGAGAGTGTTTGCATTGGCTACTGCAAACTAATGAGCGACTCGGCAGTGACCAAAAACCTGCCACTTCAGAAGTGTTCAAAGGTTAGCCTACCCAAGGTCTTTATTGTTAGCTCGATGCGCACTTACTTGGTAGTTAAAGTATGGTTGATTGCATTTTGATAACAATTACGGATGGAGTGTTTAACTGGCAAGCCTAAAAAAGTAAGCTAGATACTACTAATAACGTTTACAGACACTGTCCATAACATTTTCACGTCTGCAGTTGAAGTTTTGAATACATTTTTAGCTAATTAGCTTTCTTCAAATGAGCTTGCTAGCTAAAAAACTTATGCTAAGGTAATTACTGATACAAGTGTTAAAATACTATGATGCTATAGTGGTATGTTGCAAAGAATGAAGACGATAACACTGCATTTACTGGTTTAGTTCTAGAAAGAAAATTGGCTTTACCAAGGTAGCTAGCTAAAAAACGATTTTATATAAGCTAGCAAGAGCTACAGTAGCCACACAGTTCTCTCAGTGGTTTTAAGTATGTTTAAAGATCTTTGGCTAAGACCCACAAAATAGGAAAGCTAAGCAGTTTTTTAAAAAAAAAGGTACTTCAAAGTAGTTTCTATCAACTAATTTGGTAAATTATTTACGTTGTTATTGTTAATGTATTCAGTTGTATTTTGGACTTCTTCGAGGTAAGTAGTATCTTCTCGCTGCTCTGGTGCATTTAGAGCAGAGCTCAGCAACATTGTGAGTGTATTTTAAATATGTGTAAAAGTTGTTCATGACCAGGAGGTGGTTTCCCTCCCAGCTTTCGCCTCTCGCCCTCCTTTTAAGTCTTGACATCTGTAGAGAAATTAAATACACTTTGAATCTCTTTCGCTAGTAAGTAGAGAATTTCTGCTATTTACCAGGGCCATCAGGCCAATTGACGTACTTCCCACCAAGCCGCCTGAGACTTCACTTTGAGTAGCTATGAAAGGAAGCAGTCATGAGGAGATGAAAAGATAGATGGGTGGAGGTAAGAAGGAGAGAGATGAGGTCTCACTGGGAGACCACTGGGAGGGGTGAGGATGGGATGTAGGTTTAAAGACTTGAAAAAGACAGAGAGGCGGAGGCTAGGAAGGAAACTCCCTCCTGGTTATGAACAACTGTAACACTCTCTGAGCCTCATACACAGGACACACTCACTGCTGCTCAGATCAGATGCTGTGAGAGTGTGCACAAGAGCTACAAGAGACCTCTGGCCGTGGACAAGGATTAAAATCAGGAAACAATTTTCTGGAGTTTTTTTATAAACTGGATTAAGAGAGACATCTGGAGATGTGTGGGTGGGGAGTCGTCTTGAATGGATGATGAAGTACCCAAGGAGGACTGGATAAAAGCTTCCAGCAGTGAATGATGACTCCCATGAGGTATCTAGTTGATCGTTGACAAGTGTGAACTTTATTTCCTTGGGAGGCAATGGAGGGTTGGAAGCAGATCTGATGACACAGCTCTCAGATTTCACTCCAATCTCTGGGGCACCTGCTCATCACTGAAATTGCTTTCCATCCTCCAAGTTTACAACTTCAAAGCTAAGACCAATCTTCCACAGGGGCATAGTTTGTCTGTATTCAAAACACATTGTGGAACCTTGTAATTATGCCCTCACTCTCATTATCTCTGTTTCTTCTGTTGCACGACTGCAAGGTGAGAGAGAAGTGGATCAGAGGGTGAGGAGATTTTTTTTCTCTTCAAGATTAGAGAAGGTAGCCGAGGGAGAGAGGAAGGCAAAAAGGGGGGAGGGAGAGATAAACAGAGGCAGCTTAAGGCGGTAAACACGTCCTGTCCAGAGCCAGCTCTCCTCTAAACACATCAGGCATAAATCAGCATCTGTCCGGAACAGGAGGACAAACCAAAGCGAGTTACAAACACTGTTGCTGTCAGTCTGGAAACACTGAAGGGAAGATAAACTGAATAAAGTAAAAAAGAAGCGGATTATTATTTACTTTATAAATCTAGATTTGCCAGCCACCACAGCCATGGACTCAGACGTCTCCCACAGCTTCCCTTGTCTTTGCAGCAAGAGGAAACGGCAGCAGTTGAGCAGAAGCAGCAGCAGATTATCTTCCAGACCCCATCAGCCTCTCCTCCACCCCAGGACCCTGCTGCTGCTGCCCCTGCTGCTCCTGCTCGGCCTCTCCCTGTGGAGCCAGCAGGCTGAGGCCCTGGTCCACTCCAGCTTCAGAAGGCTCAGCGGCCGAGAGAAGAAGGAGATGCAGAAGGAGATCTTGTCCATCTTAGGTCTACCAGTGCGACCAAGACCTCACCCCCCGCTGCGACCGCCCTCCTCCGCGCCACTATTCATGCTCGACCTGTACCACGCCATGTCTGCTGATGGGGAGGATGAAAGGAATGAAATTATTGTGAACGGACCCGGCATGGGGAGGTTTGGAGGGGCAGAGAGGTTGGTTCAGGTCAGCCACTCCGTCCTGCCGACCCTCAGCACCCACCAACCCCCACTGGGCACAGTGGTCAGCGAGGCTGACACGGTGATGAGCTTCGTCAACCTGGGTGAGTAATCTGTGACCTCATACCTGGAGGTAATGCCTGGGGAAAGAGCCACTCAGGAAGTGAGGCAGTTGGCATTCCTGGGCAATCTTTAAAAATGTCATACTTTGTACTGCATAGTAATCTGTATGTGGCTACTGCTTACTGCCTACTAACCAGTGGTGTAAAGTCACTAAGCACATTAACTCAAGTACTGTATAGTACAATTTTGAGGAACTTGTACTTTACTTGAGTATTTATATTTAATGCTACTTTCTACTTCTACTCCACTACAATTCAGAGGTAAATCGTGTACTTTTACTCCACTACATTTATTTTGTACCTCTATTTACTTTGCAGATTTGAGTTAAATCAGACTTTAGTTACACCTGGAGTATGCACAAGCTACCCTGCAGTATACAAAGTCATTGTTCTTGTAACAGAGTATCTCTACACTCTGGTACTCAAGTACAAGATCTGAGTACTCCCACCTCTATTACTAACAGATTTTCAAGTATTCTGTTACCAGTGGACTGTTTACACTGAAGTTAGCTTTAGCAAAACATCTTCGATGAATCAGCCGACTGTATCGATCACTTCGTTACGGTCCAAGCTACAGTTAAAAAAATAACTGTTAATTACTCAACATTATTTATTTCAAAATGAAATAATTCAAGGAATATTTCAAGGAAAATGTAAATCATCAAATATTTTATTGTTGGATATTTATTTTCTTCAGTATATATAAGTGAGCTGTCAAACCTTTCCCTCTTTACTGTACCTTAATGTCACTCACTATCACTCCGTAGTCTTGCTGTCTGACTGATGAGCCCCACATTTGGGGGGATTGAGTATGTCTAGTGTGTCTTCACATGCTGTTGGATCGCACTTTATATTCAATTTTAAGTAATGCGTAGCATGAGTTGTACTTGTAATTCAATTTTAAGCCTACTCTATGATTTTACTTCACTTCATTTCACAGGAAAAATACTGTACTTTTTTTTATTAAACTGCATTTATCAGCTGTAGTTATGAGTTCATTTTGATGTTAAGATTTTACAGAAAAAACATACATGGGTTGCAAAATATTGTTCAAGGATGGCACAACAACTAGTATAATGCATACAATATAGTTGTAAAAATAAGTTCCACCTTGACCAGCTGAAACATTAAAGTAAAATAAATAAAAGAGGCGAGGACGGAGCCAGCAAGCGACTAGCTTAGCTTAGCATGTATCCTGTTAAGCAGCTAGCCTGGCTCTGTTTGAAGGTTAGCATAAGCAACCTGCCAGCATTTCGAAAGCTCTTTTATTTATTGTTTTATCTTGTTTGTTGAATATATCCAAAAATCGCCGAACCTTGTAGTTTAAGAGCGTGGCTATACCTATTTTCCTGCTATAACTTGGCCGGAGGCGACCAACCACAGACATAACCCTATGCAAAACCACACATGTTGTTTTTACATTTCTGTTTGGGTACAGATCAAATAAACCAAATGTAACATGCAAATGACTATGCTTTAGAAATGGTGGCAGGCACATTTAGTTTAGAGGCTAGCTGTCACCGCATGCTTCTAATGTTTATGCTAAACTATAGGATAAATGGCTACTGGCTACTAGCTTTATATTTTCCAACATACATGAGAGTGGTATCAATCTTCTATTCTAACTTTTGGCAAGTAAGCAAAAACTGTATTTTAAATATGGAAAGCGACTTCCTAGAAACATCATCAGTATTGAATTAGCAGTTTGACTCCACAGTTTGGCTACCAAAGGGCAACTCTATGAGGATGAAATTACACCTTGTGAACTTGATGACACTGACACTGTCATCTGCTACCGTTTCAGTTTCCTCGCTTTGAAAATGTCCACAAACATTCACCCCTACAGAGAGGATAAAACCAATGCCAGTAGGGATGAACTATATTGGTAGGTTTCCGTTTCCACCCAGCATTCCACCACCCTCGCTGCTGCGGCAAACTACGCATCGCTAATCTTTCATCCTGTTGAGTGGTCAAATGATAATATACAAGCTGTCTCAGAAACATTACTAAAAGATATACATAAATATAATGATATATATATAATATGTATAAATATCTTATATTTGCTTCCCTAAATATATTATAAATACTGTTAAACACCCAGATCCTGGGACTGTTTTGGTTTCCGTCCAAAGCTCCCAGCAGCCTGACTGATGCCTATCTGTCATGGCATAAAAAAATTAAACATCCTTGTCTCAATGGCTTCCTTCCTCCAGCTCTTTAGGAATTGGATGGTGATCTCCACCCAGTTGCCGTGGGAAACATCTCTGTGCTCGGTGTCTCTAATGAGCATCAAATGAAGGGTTTCCTTTTTCTGAAATCCTCTTCTGTTTTGGAGAAGAAAATGCAGGCCTTAAATTAATCAGTCAACACCTCACAGTGCATTTCATCCTCCTAACTGAACGATGTTGTAAACAAAGGTGACTCACGCCTTCAATAAAAACCCACAGCGCACGCCAGGGTTTCCCTTCAGACGGTGAAGCTTTGTACAGTTCTACAGAAGTGTGACTGAACAGTGAACACATCACAGAGACTCGAGGACATGAGATAAATCTACAAGGTTAATTGTGTATTTGCATATAACTTGCATTCATAGTCATTGAAAATATTTTTGTTATCTGACTTGTATGCAGTGGTTATACAGATAATTGACTAAGGCAAATGTAGCAATACTCTAATGTAAAAAATGCTCTGTTACAAGTCCTACAATTTTAGCATAAGCGTCAAAATATACTTTAAGTATCAACAGTAAAGGTACTCAAGATGCAGAAAGGCCCATTTCAAATTAATTTGATAACATCAGCATTTATGCATAACTGTTAATATCACCTGAGGGTTTCATCTGGTGAAGATGGAGCTTATTTCAATAACTTCATAAACTGCTGGGTAGCAAGAACTCAAAAATATTAACTAACATATTTGTTGATTTATGTATTTTATTAATAACTATATCTGCAATCTAGCTAAAGCTGTCACATAAGTGAACTGGAAAGTACATTTTACCTCACAAATCTGGAGATGTAGAAGTATAAAGTGATATAAATTGAAAATGTAAAAGTACTTTACTTGAGTTAAAAGAACTTGGAAACATTCCACCACTGCTCAGATGGTCCCAACTGTAGTTTTCCATAGAGCTTTTGCACTTGTTGAATGATATTCTGCAGATATGCTTTATAAAGTTTAGTTTTCTGTCACTAATGGGGCGAAGCCTGCGAGCTAGTTCAGGCAGTCAACTCGAGCACTTATGCTGCATTCATATATAACGCCCCTTACCACTCTACAACCAACCAAACAGAGTCTCCTAATACGCCGCTCTATTTAACTTGCCAGATCTCTATGTTGCTTGCTGTTGCTACTTCCACGTCGCTGCTGCTTGCCTGATACTCAAGATCAGCTTCCACCCCAGCTTCCACCTGTAGGCTCTGGGGGTTAGTTATTTAATCATCCCCTTAATGTAGTGCTTCTGAGAGGAATGCTCTTTATACGTATATCTATACATGCTATGTATATCTGTGGAGTGATGAGGCCCGAGCCTAGACGCCAAACTCAACTATATGCTGCTTCTAATAAACATGTTAAAGAAACACGTGAGTTGTCTGACTGAAATGTAATCAGTGTGTGTAGTTCATGTAAGTTGAATCAAACAGGCATTGGTGTGTGTTCCTACGCATATGTAATGGGAAGACACAGCTGGTTAGAATTAAAGGCCCGCTGACACACACCGAGCAAAAAGAAAAAAGGAAACGGTCCGAAGCGAGATGAAAATACTGCTGTGGAGGGAGCGACTCTAAAAATACCAAGAGGGCTGCAATTAGTGGTGTGTGTGCTGAGCAGCTGCTGTGGTTCAGAGCACTAAGTGTCTCTAATTACTGCTGTGTGTGTGTGTGTATGTGTGTGTGTGTCCTGATATGAGCACGCCCAAACCATCAGGGATGTCCTGTCTTTAGTATCTCTATTAACCATTCAGTGTGTGTGTGTGTGTGTGTGTGTGTGTGTGTGTGTGTGTGTGTGTGTGTGTGTGTGTGTGTGTGTGTGTGTGTGTGTGTGTGTGTGTGTGTGTGTGTGTGTGTGTGTGTGTGTGTGTGTGTGTGTGTGGTGGTGTGTGTGTGTGTGTGTGTTGTGTCCTGATATGAGCACGCCCAAACCATCAGGGATGTCCTGTCTTTAGTATCTCTATTAACCATTCAGTGTGTGTGTGTGTGTGTGTGTGGTGTGTGTGTGTGTGTGTGTGTGTGTGTGTGTGTGTGTGTGTGTGTGTGTGTGTGTGTGTGTGTGTGTGTGTGTGTGTGTGTGTGTGTGTGTGTGTGTGTGTGTGTGTGTGTGTGTGTGTGTGCAAACCCCAGTGCCCATAGCCTTTCGTGTCCCTGTGGGGTTCCACAAGGACACACACACTGCATGGCTTCATATTTATAATGGGTGTAGGATGGTGTGCGTTTGCCAGCTCACTTCTGGATCTCCATATTTTTCGTTAACAGAGGGCCACATGAAGTTGAACATCACACGTTCTCTAATCTGTCAAACAGCAGCCGTTGAGGTGCCTTTATGAAAGACACTGCCCCTTCTTACGGTTCAGTAAAGTGGAACACTGGTAGAAGAAGCATTTAAAAATGTTACTTCAGTAAAGTATCCAAACTTCACTGTAGAAATACTCTAAGTCATTCATTCAATATCTTTATTTGTATTGGTACCAGGGGCAACATCCCCATGCTAAACTTAACTTACACTCTAGTGAATGTAGCTCTATATTAACTGTAAATATATTAGATATCTCCTCACAAATACAAAAAGCAAAATGTGTATTCCCCAAAATGTGTAAGTATTTCCATTTTATGCTTCAAAATAATTCTGAAATAAATATTGTTGTTTTTACTCCACTAAATGTTTCCTGATATCTAAGTGAACTTACTAAATGATCTCATAACACATAATGTATTGATGGTTAAGAATGAACTACACAGTATACAGTATGCTTTGAAGTATATCATTTACGACCCCTTTTGAAGTACTTTTCAATCATTGTATTGCCAGTGTTTCTGAAGTAATGGAGGAATACTCATCCTTCCTCTGTGTCATTGACTCATCTCCCGGTGATGTCACCTCCTCCACACCTTCACTCTGTTACTCTCTGTCTCCAGTGTCCTCTTACATCTGTTTCAAACTAAGACTTTCCCCTTTCTGTTTCCTCTCACGCCTCTTGTGTCTCTTCCCGACACATTTGATCAACAACAAAACTTCCCACCTGATCTTTCTGACTTGTATTTATCCCTGCTTTTTTATAGATTTATTTGTAGGGTGGATTTTAAAGACTTTAAAGTCTGACTTTTTATTTAATGACCAGTGACCACATTATTAATCTATTAGCCTTTGTATGAATGTCATTGTTCACCAGGTCACTGTCAGTTTTGAATAATTAAGCACTGCTTGTTTAAAAAGTACAACACATATAAATATGTTTTCTTATTTTTATTTCATTTATTTGATCAGTCACAGCCTTTATATATACAGTCTATGGTCACAGCACACACTGAGGGCTCATACTGTTATTGTTTTGAGCAGTATAACATGTTATACTGGCCAATCTAGATAAAGTGAACTGTTGGTACATGTTATCTTGAGTTTGTCTTATGGTGTTGATTAAGTGTTTTTGTACATTTTTTTATAACAATGTGTTTTACATTATGATGTAGTGTTTAGTTATGTGGACCCCATTAAGAGTAGTTGCTATATATGACTATTGATAGTAAGTACAATAATGTGTCTCTGTCTCTGCAGTGGAGCAGGAGCGAGACCTCCTGCAGCCTCGTCCGTACTGGAAGGAGTTTCGCTTCGACCTGACGCCCCTCCCTCAGGGGGAGACGGTGACGGCAGCAGAGTTTAGGATCTATAAGACCCTGACGATGGGCCAGAGGGCCAACCGGACCCTGCACATCTCCGTCTACGAGATCCAGAGAGACAACAGACACAGGTGAACACTGACAGGGAACTTTTGACTGCAGAAAGAATAGAGAGAATGTTCTCTTGATGCCTTTAATTCATGTTTCACCTTAGTAAGCTTTAAATGCATGACTTTGACGACTAGAGGTGTATTTTCACAGTGTTGTAATCGTACTTAAGTGAAGGATCTGAATACATCTTTCACCACGGCACAGGTGTAGCTTACCTTTGTTTCTGTAGCAATCTAGGATCTACTCTTAAAAGTTCTGGACTCCTCTTTATATTAAGATTACTTTTATGTATTAAACTCTAATCAATAATAATATTGCCTGATTTTAGGAGTTAAAGGGGACCTATCATGCAAAATGCATTGTTTTGATGTCTTATATACATAAATAAGTGTCCCTGGTGTGTCAGGGAACTCACAAAGTGTCAGAAAACAAAACCCTCTCTCTTTCCCGCCGTACCCAAATCTCTAAAAACGAGGGTACAACAGATATGACGTCATATCGGCAATGTGGGCTGGCTTTACACCCACGGCCCTATCAGAAACGTCGCTATCAGAAACAATGCGCGACGTGTTTTGGACGTAATATGGTCTTTTTTACATTAGCAAGCATCACTAACACTCAGAGCTAACCTGTACTGGAGAGAGTGTGTGCAAAAAAGCAGGAAATAAAGAAAGGAGCTCACCTTGTAGTAAACCCGCAAGAAAATAAGCATTTGAGCTCCATACTGTTTCAGAAATAATCCTTTAGCATCTAGCTGCATCTGAGCAGAGCTCGTCACAGAACTCACAGGGTCCCTGCTGCTCAAAAGGGGGCGGGGCCAGCAGAGAATCAGCCATTCTCTAACAGGGCTGAAATAGAGGGATATGAGGGATGTCTAAAATGCATGATCTGTTTGGTGTTTTGAGCAAAACACATCATAGACATGTTTTTTATATATTTGTATATATCTGAGACCCATAATATATGCCTAAAAATAGCATGATAGGAGATCTATAAGAGGAATGCTAGGGATGTCCTGTCTTTATAGTCTTTAATATGTCCTTCACTTTCAGCTTTTTAAAACTCATTGATATTATTTCCTGTGTATTCTCTCAGAGAGCCGGAGCTGGTGCTGCTGGACATGCAGTCGGTGCCCGCAGGACAGGAGGGCTGGCTGGCCTTCGACGTCACCACGGCCTCCAACAACTGGCTGCTCCGCCCGCGCAGCAACCTGGGCATACGTCTGTATGTGGAGACAGAGGAGGGTGAGTGCAAAAGTAAATGTTACAACCCTCGCTTAGGTGGTGTAAAGTAATAGATGGGCAAGTAAAGCTCAAAAGCAGAGAAGACTGATCAACCTAAGCTAGTATTTCAGTTGGTCAGTTTTACAGCTAAACTCTCTATTCCGCACATTAGTAGGTCCATTTCATTTAGCGGATGCTTTTATCACAGCAAATTAAGTGCCGGTGCATTTGTTTCAAATGAGTTAAACCTTTATAGTACAACATGTTTTGAAAATCATCATCTCATCTCATCATCGTATGAGAACCTTTCTTTTTAATATCAAATAATAATTATCTGAATTTGTATCTCCTATAACATTATATAGAGATGATGTATTTATATGACATGTTATATAAATATCAACCATGAAGTTAAAACACAGGAACACAGAGTGGAGACTGGGCTTTACCTTTTCCAATAATGTACATTTAGTTGTTGTGTTACCAAAAGAATGTATGTTTGGCGCTTCAGATCAAAACCATAATAGATTTCAAAATGCAAGACCGAAAACCATGACTAAAACCATTACAAATGATCACGCTGTTTGAGATTTGGCCTATCTTTAAGTGCTGCTGTCATTTTTACAAGCCACCAGATGTCACTTCATGAGGCTTCATCAGCCCATCACTATGTGACGTACTCACCTGGGGATTTACACCCTGATGATTTTAAATGGTTGATTGAAATAGCTCCTACCACTACAGACTGAACTTTATTCATATTCCTGTGCCCTCTCCTAGACCGCTCCCTGTCTGCAGGCTGGATCGGGTTGGTGGGCCGCAGGGGCCCCCGCTCCAAGCAGCCCTTCATGGTGACCTTCTTCAGGGAGAGTCAGGTCCCGTGTCGCCCGCCACGAGCTGTCAAGCCACATCCTCGCAGGAAGAAACCCAAATATGACCTCCCAGTTCCCAGCATTCAAAGTGAGCGTCCAGAAGCAAATCAGCAGACAATGAAAATAGAGATAGACAGAGCTACATTGTTTAAACTCAAGTAGAAACGTTATACTTGTATTGACTTAGGGTAGGTAAGAATGGAGAAACCAGCTCAAGTGCGCTAGAATTTGAAAGTACGCAGCCGATAAAAATCTGCCCCTTCCTTCAGACTTCCTTACAGAGCCCCTCCTCCAACACACACGAACGCGCACATGACCAATGAGGGCATGAGATAAGTTTGTGCACAGATGGAAGGCTGACAGGCAGGTAGGCCATCCAGTTATTTTAGCCGGGCCGGTGAAAATGATTGGTCGTGCTTTTTACAGTACTACGGCTTCCACAGATTTTTTTATGTATTTATTGTCAAAGCATTTAATATATTCATTGCTATCGGGATGTTAAGAGCATTCCATGGAATATAACAAAAAGTGTTTCTGAAGTGAATTACCTACCCCACCTTTAACTCAATAATGTGATTTTATAAAGTTTGATGCTAACATTAGCAACTTGATGCTACTGGTTTGCCACACTGAGTGAGGCTGTAGCAGGGAAGCCCCTGTGTTGAATCCAGAGAACATGTGTTTTCATCCTATGAACTCAAGTTTCTAGTTCATTTGTTGTTTCTGCTTTAAAAATGATCATAGTCACGCTTAATGATTCTCAAAAGATGAACCCTTACTATTTAAGATATACCAATATATCTCTTAATCTAAAAGGCTAGTTGTCATGACAGTTTCTGAGAAAATCCAATCCCTCAGTGAGGATAAACTATTTTGATTTCAATTTCAGGAAAGAAAGATAGCATACAGACATGTTGAATGTTCCTGAATGTCTTTTTTATTAACATAAAATAAAATGAGATTAAGCTGTGAAAAGTATTGCCATATAATAAATAAAAACGGTATACTTCAAGAAGAACAGGAGAAATCGTAATTATTAAAAAAATATATAATTCTTTTTCAAAAATGATAATCACTACCAAAAAAGGGAACCAGCCAGGCACAGGGGGCACTCCAGGAGGCTGGCATCCCCAGAGGAAGGGGCTCCATCCAGGGATGGCTGGCTGGAGGAGAGTGGCTCTGAGGGCGTGCCGGAGGCGGCGTCCTGGGGGGTCGTGGTGGCTGTGGCGGTGGTCGTTGTGGGAGTAGCAGAGGCTGCAGGGGGTGCTGAGCTCAAGGCAGAAGGGAGAAGCGGTTGTTGTGTGTGGTGATGTTGGTGTAGATGGGATAAAGGGGTGGCTGCTGCTCCTTTGGGGCCCCTGGCACCCCGTTTGCTGTGGAAGAGGCTGTGGAAGGAGATGCGGCCGTGGCGTTTGCCAGCCGCACGGCACTTAGGGTTAGGGATGCCGCTCACCGAGGAGTGAGGCGACTCGGAGTCCTTTTCTGATCCCATGATCCCAGAAGAGACACACAGGCCCGGGTATTGCCCCCCGAGACACGTTAATGTCTTGCAGAGGGACACTCAGCTTCACAAAAACACACTGAGTCACACACACAAGGGAGGACTTGTCCCCTGTGAGAACCAAACTGGAATGCAAATGATATCTGAGTTCCTGTTACTAGACACTTACACACAAAATATGTTCTTTTCTTCCTATAAAAAAAAATACAGTAACACTTCGAAATCCTTAAAACAGACTCATAAAAAGACACGTTCAAATGGACACAGACACATGTAAGTCATATATAAATGGATGTTTATTTCTTTAAATATCAGATTAGAAATTCACTTCTAAAATCTGTAATAAAAACATTAAACATTAAAATACATGTTGAAACCTGTGTACACATACACACACACACACACACACACACGCTTTTAAGTTATTTAGTTACATTTTATTTTGATTATGTATTTTAAGTGTTGAAACACCTAAGAAAATAAATGTAAAGGGTTTATTTATTCAATATCCCTTTTCCTTGAAGATGAATGCAATTTAGGGTTAGGGTTTTTTTGTTTAATTAATGAGATGTTTATATTAATTGAACTTGGGAAAACCGGAGAGTCCCGGAGAAAACCCAACATACAGCTGTTGTTTTTGTTTCATTCATTGAACACAGGGAACCCGGAGTACCCGGTGTAAACCTCCAAAAACCCTTTCACTTAAATAATACAAGACCCTTTCCTGCAGACATCTGAGATGGTTCTGCCCACTGAGGAGAAGAATCTGCAGATTTGGCTACCCTTTCTTGGTGTTGTCGTCAGCCGATATGTGATGATGACGGCAATGTGTTTCTGTAGTGCAGGATCCTCTAAGTACAAACAGCTAAGCACCTTTTCGGCGCAGCCGTACACCTTACATAAGTCCCGGAAAATGGCCTTGTCAAGATCTTTCAAGGCCCCAGGTTTGGGACCAAAATCAACCCACTCGATATCGGGCATTGTTTTCTCCAACAGACGACTAACGATGTCATTAACGTTTTCAAGGGCGCAGTCCACTTTAGCTTTCATAAAAATCCGCGAAACCAGCCTCTGCAAGACTATTTTGATTACCGCTTTTGTTTCCTTTGGTGTTTCAACTACTCTCACCGATGTTCGTACCAGTGACTGGCTGTCCTTAAGGGCACTTTGTACTCTATCACTGTGGCCACCAACCTGAGTTTTCTGCCACCACTTCATGAGTACCATGAAATCCCACACTTTGTTTTGTACCTCACTACGCTTCTTCGAACGTGACAAATATGTGCCAGTGTGAGTTGAGGGCTGAGGAGCCACTGATGTGCGAGGTGCCTGCTTTTGAATTTGTCCTGGGAGAGTATCAGGCAATTCATGTTTGAGGAGGTATGAGAGGAGGATATCAGTCAGTTCCTTTGTGAACACAAGGACTTCAGCACTGGGAATAGTGTTAAGACCCTTGAACACACTAATCTGATCTCCAACCTGTGTGTTTTTCCCATCCCTTGGCTGAAGCAAACGATCTACATCATCCATAAGTGACTGCACTGTGGACCTGCTGTCAGCTTTGGAGCCCTTCTGAAATGTAGACTTCAGTTGTGTAAAGATGCGAAGTATCCATGCTTTTGCAAAGTGTTTCGTAAAAAAGTTCCTTATCTTGTGCTCTATATCTTCCAAAGAAAGTTTGTGCTTATCTGCTCTTTCTGATGTTGGGGTTGCTGCAGCTGCCATCTCCTCGAAACCTTCCAGTCCTTCAGCTATTGCCATTGCAATATCGTCTGCAAGAACTGAACTCTCCTGAGAGCTTTGAGACTGCACAATCTCGGAGTCAGTATCAGACACAGGAGTCAAAAGAGGTCCAATGATCTCTTTCACCTCCTTATTGATTATGTCCTGGACAGTTTTACTTTTTGCAGAGTCAGAGCTGCCAAGGGATGAGCTATTCTCTGGGGTCTCAGTCCTTGCACTTTTGACTGGGGACTGAGAGTGGTCACTGTTGCTTGCCTGCCTCATATCTTTGTCATTTTTTGATTCTGCCAGCAAGTATTCTTTTGTTAGAGAGCACAAGAATCTCGTCTTGGCGGCAAATTCCTTTAACATTTTGGTGGCATGACCAACCATAGTATTAAGTCTGTTAGGTTGAGTGACATGCTGGCTTATTGTAAACTCTGCAGAGCGCATTCTGGTGAGGGAAGAGTTGAGACTTCTTACAACCTCTTTACTGATCAAGGTTCTCAAGCGCTTCGAGCTAACACTCTGCACAGAAGGATTCTTCAAGCCCAAGACGTCGGCAACACTCTGAGTGAGTGTGGTGCCCATACTTAGCACAATACTCTCCTCCGACACAACAACATTTGTGTTCACAATACCCTTCAACAAGTGTGAAGTCACAGATGTTACAATGCTTAAAACAAGTTCTGCCAACAAAACTTTAGTTGCGTCATCCGGGGTGCCGGTATCTAACAACAGCACCTGTTCTTTAGTTATGCTTTTATAAAAGTTCTCCACCTGGGGACGAACATTATCCACCCTAACCTCCAGTGTTTCCATTGTCTGTGGTGTTCCTTGTCTATCCATGGTATTGTTCCTGAATAATTATTGCAGATAATCTTAGATGTGTTCTGTAAATGTTTTGAATGCACTGGTGTGTTAAAACTACCGAAAGCGATATGGAATCTGAATGTGGGTCCTATTTGCAAACCTTTGAGAATGCTGTCATGACATCATTTGGAAATGGCTTTGAAACCAAAGGCATTCCAAAATGATGTCATCACCTTGCTATGATGTCATCATCTGATGAAAGAACAAAAGCAAAAGACTGTTCCGTGTCACGGTTGCTAGGCAACGGCGGCACCTCATGGGAGGTTCCATTACATAATATTTTAAAAATAAATAAACATTTTTAGACCATTAAATCTTGTTTCACAGGAAAAACTGTCTAAAACTTCAATCTGAGTTGATCAGGCCAAAAGATGTTTGCATTTTACAAGGATTGGGAATTTTACAAAGAGATGTATCTATCTATTGGGATATTTTAAGTTTCACGATATGGAAATCCTCTGTCATGTGGAGATGGGTTCTTCAGAGGAAAACAGTTTGTAAAATCTATACATCTATTACATTATGCAGATTTCAATTTGGGGTAATATCATTTTTAATTCTATTCAATTCAAATAGCTTTATTGGCATGACCATAATGACATACACTATTGCCAAAGCTTTGTACAAACAAAACCATGGTGACACATGATGTGGTTTATCAACTTTAAACCTTAAAATTACAAAAGAAAAGTTGACTCAAAATATAAAGTCCTATATTGAACCCCTTCACTTTTATTAAATCAAATGACTTACTTTGATGTAACTAAATGTTTTTTTCTTCTCTGTTCAGATCGGAGTCCTGTAAACACCGGAGCTCAGCCCTGTAAAAAACATGAACTCTACGTCAGCTTCAGCGACCTGGGGTGGAAGGTCAGCTCTGCATTTAAGTTTTGAGTCTTGATTTATATTTGCGTTCAACTTTTTAGGTCAATTTAACTTTTTTATGCAGTTTTATTATACTACATATACCCTGTTCACACAACTTCACATGTATTTGTCATGCTGCTTTTGAAAAGAAGAAAAACTATTATATATATATAAATACTAAGCAAAGCATTTTGAAAATATTCAAATAACGTTTAAGAAATCAAAAAATCTATGAAAAGCCAACAGTATATTGAAATAACATAAAAGCAGATATATATATATATATATCTCCTGAGACCCAGAAAGAAAAAGGTTTCAAATTTCCTTTTTTTTTATCACACAAGTCTTTAGGGTGGTATAAACATAATGACTGACAAAATCTAAAAATATATTTTTATTTTTGTTTTATTGTGTGTCCTCTGTAGAGGACATCGGGTGTTAGTTATGCGAAGCATAGTATACAAACAACATTAACATACAAGTACATTTAGACAACATTAGAGCACAACAACTCAATGCAACAAATACTGAGCCCTCCATCCTTTTTTGAAATGCAGAGATACATCGGACACTTGATGTATGTTTTCCCACTGCATCCGTCTGCCATGAACCCTACAGAAACCTACGTGTTAGCTTTGGCCCATAGTGGACTCCATTTGTGTTGTGTAAAATGGGGGAAATAAAAAGTTAGCAAATCCCCATAAAAACATGTAGTTTTAGGTCAAATAATGATTACACTGCTCTGAAACTCACTACACTAACTCCTAAGATGTTCCCTTACTATAATTAATTAAAATATTGAACTCACAACACTGGTAATTGCAAAATTACAAACGTACCATTTCTCTTTCTATAAATAGTGCTTGTGTTGATGGACGCCATTTTGAAATACAATGAAATTATCTTTTTCAAAGCCACACCCCCACATATGTCATACGTTTGAAAAGCCCAGGATGTCCTCTGTGGAGTACAATTGGACTTAATGCAGTGGCATGTATAACCTCAAAGTAATGGACCAAACCCCAATGTGCTCCACAGAGGACAAAATGAATGGGTGGGTCTCTAGAGGATAGTATAACTTGGAAAACATCATAAGATTACCCACTAAAGTATGTTGAAAATATAACAAAAAGACATATTATAGTAATTTGAAATTATCATAAAAAAGACTGACTTCAGAACAAACTACATAGAACATCATGTAACAAATATCAGAAATATCATCATAGTATGTTGAAAACATCGGGAAAAAAACGTCATTGCCGAAAAGGATAATAGACTAAATAAGATTAGATTTAACTTGTCGTGTTAAACCTTTCTGAAAAACCAACAGTAACCTTACTGTCATTGCACAGTGTTCAAATAATGAGACATAAAAATGCAGTATAATATATAGAAAATAAAAAAACGAAAGTATAGTATGTCGAAAATACCATAAAAAGTCAAAGTAAAGTTATGTCGAAAATATCTGAAAAAATTATCGAACATAAAAACATAATCGAACATTTATCAAAAACAACCTTAAATTCAACTTTATTGTCATCGCACAGAGTACAAGTAATTGAAATGCTATGTTAGCATAAACATCCTAAAACATCAGGAAAAACGACATAGTATGGAATGTTGTAAATACCAGAAAAAACAACATAGTATGTCGAAAATATCATAAACACATCACCCCCGTCCTCATCAAGCTCCACTGGCTCCCCATCCCCCAGAGAATTCAGTACAAGATCCTCTTGATGACGTACAAAGCCCTCCATAACCTGGCCCATCCTACCTGACTGACCTCCTCCACAGACACACTCCCACCCGCCCCCTCCGCTCTACTGCTGCCAACCTCCTGTCCCCCCCCCCCCCATCCGGACCAACCTCCTGTCCCCCCCAAACCGGACCAACCTCCTGTCCCCCCTCCATCCGGACCAACCTCCTGTCCCCCCCAAACCGGACCAACCTCCTGTCCCACCCAAACCGGACCAACCTCCTGTCCCCCACAAACCGGACCAACCTCCTGTCCCCCACAAACCGGACCAACCTCCTGTCCCCCCCCAAACCGGACCAACCTCCTGTCCCCCCTCCATCCGGACCAACCTCCTGTCCCACCTCCATCCGGACCAACCTCCTGTCCCCCCCAAACCGGACCAACCTCCTGTCCCCCCCAAACCGGACCAACCTCCTGTCCCCCCCCAAACCGGACCAACCTCCTGTCCCCCCCCCAAACCGGACCAACCTCCTGTCCCCCCTCCATCCGGACCAACCTCCTGTCCCCCCCAAACCGGACCAACCTCCTGTCCCCCCCAAACCGGACCAACCTCCTGTCCCCCACAAACCGGACCAACCTCCTGTCCCCCACAAACCGGACCAACCTCCTGTCCCCCCCAAACCGGACCAACCTCCTGTCCCCCCTCCATCCGGACCAACCTCCTGTCCCCCCCCAAACCGGACCAACCTCCTGTCCCCCCCAAACCGGGACCAACCTCCTGTCACCCCCAAACCGGACCAACCTCCTGTCCCCCCTCCATCCGGACCAACCTCCTGTCCCCCCCAAACCGGACCAACCTCCTGTTCCCCCCAAACCGGACCAACCTCCTGTCCCCCCTCCATCCGGACCAACCTCCTGTCCCCCCCAAACCGGACCAACCTCCTGTCCCCCCTCCATCCGGACCAACCTCCTGTCCCCCCCAAACCGGACCAACCTCCTGTCCCCCCCAAACCGGACCAACCTCCTGTCCCTCCCAAACCGGACCAACCTCCTGTCCCTCCCAAACCGGACCAACCTCCTGTCCCCCCTAAGTCGGACCAACCTCCTGTCCCCCCTAAGTCGGATCAACCTCCTGTCCCCCCCATCCGGACCAACCTCAAGTCCTGGGGCGACAGAGCCTTCTCCGTTGCTGCACCCACCCTCTGGAACTCACTACCCCAACACATCAGAGACTCTTCCTCCCTCACCGCATTCAAAACATCACTCAAAACCCACCTGTTCAACACTCAAGAGCCCCCCCCCTCTTTTCTGTTTTTGTTGATCTCGTCTTTTTGTCAAAGCGTCTTTGAGTTTTTAGAAAAGTGCTATATAAGTCTCATGTATTATTATTATTATTATAAAAACGACATAATATAGTATGTCGAAAATATCAGAAAAAACGACATAGTATAGTATGTTGAAAATACTTATCCATGTCTTATTGATAGTTGCCATTCTGATTCTTCCTTGATTTAATCATATTATATAGTGGTGATAGTTCACTAGATAGTTGTGGTGATGTCCCTGCCTGTAACTAGACTCTTGTGGTTCTGCTCAGGACTGGGTCTTGGCCCCCACTGGATACTCAGCCTACTACTGTGACGGAGAGTGCTTTTACCCTCTGGGCTCCTGCATGAACGCCACCAACCACGCGCTCATCCAGCAAGTGGTCAGTACAGCCAACACACACATCGACTTGAAAGTTTATCATTAATTACTTCATACTACAATACTCTATGAGAAGTAAACATTTGTTCTTATGTAATACCCTTTAATGCTGTTTTCTTGAATTGTTATAAAATGTTGTGCCGAGTGTTGGGGATAATTCATATTTAAAAAAGGACTGTACTTCAAAACAAAATTGACACTGAGAAGCATTCATTTGACAGCTGAAATGAATGCTGTCAAATGACAGTTTACTTTCTAGACCAACATTTGATACATTTTTAAATCACAATATTGTTATATAGTGTTACTCGGGAATCCTGACCAAAACATACCTCGCCACAAAACTGAATAAAACATATCAGTCATAAGTTATTTTACCTATGATACATTTAAGGATCAGAGCTTTGGTTAAATACCTGAATGTTAATAACGGTGTCCTCTCTCTGCTGCAGGTCCACCTGCTGAAGCCGGACGAGGTTCCTAAAGCGTGCTGCGCTCCCACCAAGCTCAGCCCCATCTCCGTCCTCTTCTACGATGACAACAACAACGTCATCCTCAAAAAACACCGCAACATGGTGGTTAAGACCTGTGGGTGTCTGTGAGAGTGGAAAAGGTTCCACATGGAAAGTTATGAGTCAAATTTGTATCAAAATGTACATGGTGGATTATTTCTTTCCAGCAGTAAATATTTCTGTAAACAAGTTGGATTACAAAGCAATATAAATCTAATTTAACATATTTGTAATACTAGTGTTTGAGTTCTGATTTAGTATCAGTGGCTTGTGTGTTTTCAATCCAATCCATTGATTCCAAATCAAAACTTTAGCTTTCTCTGATAGTTGGGTGTTAGTTTGTGTCCAAATTGTATGATTGGCCTTTGCACTCAATAGCAGAAACCTGTATTTGACAACCTTTACCCAACTTGGGAAAGCTACAACTTGTTTGGCTTTCTTAACAGCAGTCTTCTTATAGATGGGTTTGAATAGCAAATTGGATGGCAGAACATGCTAATGACTGTAAACAAGACATTAAAGGACAGTACTATTGTTGCAGCTCTAAAGTCTATATAAAGAGAATATGTATAATTGTTTTGAATTAATAATAAAATAAGTTCACATTTTCTTTTGACTTGTGTTCATTAAAAAAAGGACTGAACACATTTAGAGCAGTGCAAATGATGCAATAACATTTCAATGTAGTGATGTGAAAAAGGTATTTCCGTTTTTTTTCCTCACATAAACCAAAAGACAAATTGATTATTAAAATAATAGCTGCAGAACTATACACACATAATCTAGTCATATACTACACTTTAATGTAATTAAAACACACCTTTCATACAGAAAATCAGTCGATCACATTAACAGGGTATATGCAGGAATCCTGAAGTCAAATTTAATACCTTTTAAGACCTTTAAGACCCTTTCCATACATTTTAAGACCTCATCGCCACTTGGAGTTTGAACCGGTTACATTGGCGACACACTTTACCTCACATTGACTATATACAGTATTGATTGTCCTTCCTCCTTATCTTCCAACCAGTTGGACGCAAACTTGCATTTCCCCATAACGATGTTGTTTAACAACCGGCGTAAACGGGCCTTCGCGCGCTATCAAGCAGTGAGCGTGCGATGGCCTGTTCAGATGACGTCAAATCCAACGGGATGCCATAAATAAACTACACAGAATCACACTACACACCTACGCAATGATTACATTCAGGCAAACTGTAGAATACAACCTCTTTGGACAATTTATATACTCATTGAAAACAAGCTACAAAATGTAATACCTTGGAAAATGCCGTTTAATACTTTTTAATAGCATTAATTTTCGCTAAATTGATCAACTTTTAATACTTTTTAAGACCCCCCGGACACCCTGAATTAAAGACATTGTTCAATTTATTGAAAAGGGTTCAAAATAAAAAAAAGGACAGTGAAAGAAAATTAGAGAAGTGTTTGACTGTTAGTGAATATATAATGAACAAAAAAGTCAAAAATCGGTCAGCATATATTTTTCTATTTTCTTTAATCTTTTGAGTCAATTAACATTTTGTTCAACATGTAACAAGCAAACTGCCAAAGGCTGATAAAAATAAATGAGCAGAGAGCAAATCTTGTCTTGGTTTAACTGAAGTTGGACAAATATGGTGTTATTGCCAAGATTATGTTGGGAAACATACCCTAAGAGGAGGACATTTATCATCAGCTGAAGTGGAAGAATTTAGGAGAAAAATAAACAACAAACTGAGATCTGCTTTTAACGTGAGGTACAGTTGGTGTTACTGAGTGGACACCGTGGAGCCGCAGCTCAGAGGAGGCAGAGCTGTACAGTCTGACTCATATTCCACATTTTACAATTAACAAAAATAAAAGTAGAAATGAAACAATCAGATTTTAGCCGTTTTAAGATATTTTCTGTCATTAAACCCTTTTATCTTTTTGGATGGTGTGCACTGATGGCTGAGGCAACATGTGTATGTGAAAATCAAATGATTTGGAGTTACAGGGTTTAAACTCAACAGCAGCGCCACGTCCACGTAGATGACTAGTTAAACATTTCGTTTTATTCCGTGATAGCAGGCCATTTTGCAGGTCCCCTCCCCCACCTGGATTAGCAAGGTAATAAATATAAAAGTGGATGCTGGTGTACTTCTGCCCGCTCTTATTGTCTTCTCTTACAAAACACACATGTACGTACACAGCACATCCACAGCCCCCTCCATCCCCAAATGATGTCCGTGAATACTGTTGGGTCCCAGTGTCCGTCATCAACATCCTTCAGGTGCAGCGATTCAATGTTTGTCCTTGGTCATTGGGTATCTGTAAGAAACAGTTTTTTTTAGTATTATGTTAGAGTTGGAAAAATGTAAAAGTGAAATTGTTCATCTTTTTATATTCTTTATAGTCAAGTTTCCTGCTTTTTGTACGAAGGCTGCACCAGATTTCTTTTTTTTTTCTTTACATTTGAACCTCTTTTTGACGTTGTTGAATTAAGTTTAAATGTCTTGTCAACTTTTATGAAGTTACCACCCTAAAAAATGTAAGGTTGCTGTTAGCCCATCTAGTTAGTACCGGTGTGGGGATCCCTTTGTGTGTTAAAGCAGGAGAGAAACCTGTTTAAAACGCAGTGAAAACCTTTTTTTGCTTAGGCAGTTGTTTTATGAGGTTTGGTAACTCCTATATTACATCTTTCCCACTGAGGAGGTTCCAAGGTTGATTTAGAGCCAGTGCGTGAATGCAAACCAATTTTCGTCAGATGCTGGGGTGACACCAACTCACTAATTAATATGCCATACCTGTAAAAGGTCCCCGACATTGATTTCTATATAATATTTAGGGATGCTCCGATCGCCAATTTTGGGGCCGATCGCCGGAATCAGTATCGGCCGATACCGATCGCCGATCCGATCGAGTGGGCGGGGCCTATGGGGATCTTCCATTTAAAGTGATGTTTAAAACTCAGTTAATGGGGCTCATTCACTGGAGCTTCCACAAACAACAACTAACATAATTATTACATTAAAATGAAGTACATTATTCAAGTGTACATTAACTTTGGATAATAACACGGGAGAAATGAGCGGAAGCGCTCTCGTTTCCTCTCTCCCCCCCTCTCTCCCCCTCTCTCTCTCTCTCCTGACAGCCTGTCAGTATCTCATGCAGCTCACTGCTCCAGTAATGAGCGACCCGACAGTGAAGAATACATATATTTATAACTACTGTAGTTTAGCTTGTTCCAGAGGTAGATAAAATAGCTAAGTGTGTTAGGTCTAACTCTTAGTGTGTGTTCTGCTCCGCTCACCGGTCCGTCACAGCGGGTGGAGCTGCAGGATTTCTGCTTCACACACACGTTGCATACCGCTATTTTACTGTCTTTTTCAGACACCTTAAAATACTGCCAGACCGGTGAAGCCATTTTGGCGAGCTTGTTTTGCCGCGCACTGAGAAAAGTGTCATGTATTTTACGTCATACGATCGGCTCTCGCGATCGGCATGTTTAGAGAGCACCGATCGATCGGTAGACAGTGAGTATCGGCCGATCTCGATCGGTGACCGATCGATCGGAGCATCCCTAATAATATTTATGTATAATGCATTGAAATAACAATTTCTTGGCTCTAGATCTTGTTATGGATTAGTCAGACGTGCTAACATCTTAAAAAATAATAATATGGGGAAATACGCATCAGAGGTCATTACTTTTGCGAGAATAAGACAATGAATTACTAATTTTCAGCGGCAGCTGCCATTAACTGGTTTGCAAGCCTAATCAAATGCAAGTTGATTGTTAACATTCAAAATGGTGCTTAAATATATTTGGTACAGTACTATTTTGAAGAGGTTTGGTGAATTTAATAAGCCATTTCTGATCTCATCTTGTTCACACCTTGATTAAATTAATTATACGAAAACATTTACTTTGAGAGGATTCTTAAAACGTTATTACTCGGTCTTACCGGGTTCAGATCCAGTCAGCAGACATTCAGGCCTGAACGTCCACCAGCTCGGGGGGCATGGGGGACTTGGGGTGTTTGCTCTCAAAGTGCTGCTTGAAGGTCTTGGGGTCGGGCATCTGTGTCTGGAAAACAAAACAAAAAAATCATGGCTTTAGTTAGATTTTTTCGGTGGTTGCAAATTAAACACAAAAATGATCTACATAATAAATATATAGTTACACACATTACAAATTCTTACAAATATCCTGTTTCTACTGTGACATTACTTAGAATTTGTTAAACCAGATTAACAAAAAATATATAAATGTTAGCAGATTTAATTGCTAGACAACATTTCTTAGTTTTTTCTGTTTTCCAACTGGGATGCACAGAAAAATAGTACTTATCACTTAAATACAAAACTATCACATTTTACATCATATCATTGTGATTATCCAATTCTGTTAACTGGACAGCAATTGCAGGACATTTTTCTAACTTTCTAAAAATGTAAATTAAACTGTGTTCATAATTAAACATTGACTATTGAAAAACTAACTAGACAATAATACCTAGACAAGTTACAAGATCTTCTATCACTGAAAAAAATTAAAAACACAAAGTATGGGTTACTTAAGCTTTAAGAATTCTTCATTACCGCTAAAGGTAATTCAAACTGGCATGCATGATGTGTGGGTAGAGCAAGATATCATCATAAGAGCCATAGGGCAAGAATCTGATGTGAGAGTTATTGGCATAACAAACGGCCATATTCAGGCCATCAGTGTTCAATCAATGGGTGCATCTTTAACACACACACACACACACACACACACACACACCTGATGAAGTTATAAAAAAACGTTCAGAAGAAAAAGCAAGCCTCAGCAAGATCCGATCTGAGTCATCGGCTGGCACTCACCCGGCAGACGGGGCAGGTATGGACCAGGGCGGCCATTGCTGCGGTCTTCTGGTCAGCTGCCTGGCCTTTCTTCTTGTCTGCTGCCTTCTTGAGGTTCTTCTGCTGAGACTGTAGCTTTTGCTGCCCGCGAGCCATGGCGTTCAACTCTGACATGCGGAAATAAGAGACCAATGATTATTTTAAAGGGCCCAGATTGTGAGAACAGCTTTTGTTTGCCAACAAAATGACAATAGTGTAGCCTATTTAAATGCAGGATGAAATATATATTTGGGGTGACAAATCTTATTTTACACAAATTTGAAAAACAACAAAATATCCAAGCTGAATTTGTGTTGGGGTTCAGTAGAAACTATTCAAAAGCATCTTAAAATAGTCCAGCAGATTAAATTGTTTCATCAACATTAATAGATGAATGCTACATTAACATAACCAAAAAACAGAATCACACTTCTTCTTTAGAGGTAAGCCTTTGTGTACTCTCTTAAACTGCAGATGCATGGTTAAGAAAGAAAAATAAAACACAGAAATTCAAGCTTATAGAGACTTCAAGTAGCAGCTTATAATCTATTTTGAAACCATTACTTATTTATTTACTATCTGTAATGGGTTTTCTTTTATCTGAACCTTCAGTATGTGAGGAAGTTTGCTTTGATTTGATGGTTGCAGGCATGTTGTATTACACTGAACTACAAGGCCAAGTTAATCGAATAAACTGTCAACTCAGAGGAACTCTTTTTACCATATGGTGGGATATTCCATCATTTTAAACAGTGGTAAATTGGTTGTCTACATATTTAACAGTATTTTTAAGTGCACTGTAGCTCAGATACTTCCTCTTAAAAAGTATAAACAACACTACAAGTTTTAATATGACTACAAGTTGGGTTTTTGCGTATGGCTATTTTGTTCGCCAAATGCCAAGTTAGTCATCAATGTTGACAATGCTACATTTAAAATGTCGCTTAAGTTATCAAACTGCTCAAGAAATAAATAACATGTTTCTATGTTAACTTCGTTGTTTTATCAAGTAATTAGCACGCTGTTAAAAACAAGCGGTTTAGCTTAGCATCGTCCAAACAGGCCTTTCCACCGGCACCGCCTTGCTAACACTGTTAGCTAAGCTGCCAACGTTAGCCTCTGAGCAACAGAGCAATACCATGTGGAAGGGTAATAAAAAGAAACAGTTTCAAATACAACTCGCTGTTAGGTATCGCCAACATAACGTGTGGCTGTTGAATAAATGAACACGTATTGGTTTTTTTGAGGCGGATTTACCTTCGAGATTTGACTCTCTCTTCTCTCTTTTGTCGGTCTTTTTTTATGAATGCCAGAGGAAACTTCAAAGAAGGGTTTTAAGGGCCACATTGAGTGAAAACCTGACTGCGACACGGCAGCGCCTTCAGCAGGCCGGGGGAGGAACCGAAACAAATACAGTGGTTTTCAGACTCAATATATTTAAATTTGACTACCATAGGCAGGCGACAACAAATACAAATGAATCCGCCAACATTATATTGACTATGTTACACTTTAAAGTTTGGACAATTACATGTTCTGGTAAACTCTTAAAATGTCCCTTCTTGTATGCAGATACAGCTTTATCTGATACCAACTCTTGTCAAGTCTAAGGATGTAAAGTAATAACTAAAATAAAAGAGTGATAGTATTTGACTTAAAGTCACATAAGTTTAAGAGTCTTTCTAGATATGATAAGATAGGTCTTGAATCAAACCACACTTTTGCATTCCAGACAAATGGAGTCAATAATTATCATTTAGTAAGCTGGCAGAGACATCCACATAAAGTTGTGTTTTTATAAATAGTTTCAGCGGATATGAATATGTGATATAATAGTGCAAAGTGAAGTATCACAAAAATCTGTAATGAAAAATCTGTAATCAGAAATAAAGTGTATATTCTGAAATCTTAGTATATTTCATCCGTCTCATCAAGTATGAAGTTTCACTGTGAGGCTTCAAACACTATATACTTTTTTTTTTGCATTCCCTTGCATTTTTTGCATAAGAGAAAGATGGAAATACATTTCCATCTTTCCCCCAAACCAAGAAAGATTAACTATATATTTCATAATAAAAAAGACAATCAAATAACTTAACGGTATTTTTAATTTATTTACTTATTGTTCACAGCTTTTCACAACAAATTGTGCCTTCTGTTAGATAGTTGATGGGTTATTTAAAAAATGTTACTGTGTGCCGAGATACTGCACCCTCCATCGAAAATAAAGCAAATCATTAGAGATCTTTTTCCAAAACTCTTACCATTTGAACTGGTCCAGTGCCAGAGACACTTCAGCTCAATGTTCACATCCCCACAGATCAGAGAAATTGCCTGTAAACAATATATTTTGTAACTTGAGCAAAGTGCATGTATGTAAAGACTAAGTCAATAAATAAAAAGGAAAGCATTTTAAAGAAAGAGATGAAGACTGTAGCTTTTACATAGAAGGTAGACATTTTTATTTTTCACCTACTTTATACTTTTACGCCACAACATTTCATGGGCAAAAATCATACTTTTTACTAATTTAATTACCACTGTTTACATTTAACATATAAAAAACATGATATGCTTATATTTGAATACAGCCTATAAATAAACCCAGTGTTTTTACAAATATAAAGACAATCCCTGAACTACGATGGCATCTCTTCTGCAAACACAGGGCAGAGAGTGACAAGCTCCCTCCAACACTTGGAGCTCTGAAGCAGCATATCTTGAGGGTCCATGTCCAAACCAGGGTATGGGCACAGGCAGCCATTGCTCTGCAGGATCCGCAGCTGGACCCCCTGCACAATGGGTACTTCAGAGACTCAGATGGCAGGGTTGCCAACTTTGGGTACCTGGCTGGAGTGAGATTGTGATATCATGGGTTTAATTCGGTTTAATTACACATATGCGCACGACATGACTGCTATCGTGTCAGCAGCGGGACCTTAGCATATATATAGGATATATATACAATATATACAAATACACAATAATGGACACAGACTATAAAGGGCACACAGTTTCATTCACTAATGAAAGTCAAACATGTTTGTTTCCACTGTTGTATTGTGTGCCTGTCGCGATAAGCAATTAATTGACTTATCGTACGATAAATAAAAATGAACTCGATAACTTTTCTGACCTCGATAAATTTCCATTTACATGAGGATGTGACTAGCAGTTTGAAAGGATGTACTTGAATTATTATTATATATTATCATTATGTCAGTGGTCTAAAATGGTCATACAACGGTGCCGACAATATTATCGTTTATCGCAATAATTTCCGGGAAAATGTATCCAACAAAATTAATTATCGTGAGAGGCCTATACATGAAACACACACACACAAACAAATCTACAGACTTACTCCAAACTGCCAAATATATTAATTAACACACTCTCACTCTCATATACTGTACTCTTTGACTCTATGTTGGCCTAGTAGAACAATAAGCAGCAGACTTTTACTTTTTTATCATTTCTACTGGATCTTAGATCTGCGCATGCGCTCCAGAGTATTTTTGTTGGGTAATCTATGGTAGGGCTAACCCATACAGTGGTGGGGCTTAAATCAGTATTTGCAATGTAATTACATACACGCTCCCCCCGACAGTGAAACGCCATGCGTGAGGTTTAGATTATTTCCCTGTCTCAATCCAAATTGAACTGTATGAAATAAAAAGGCACATTTGTCTTGTAGTAAATAAAAAGGGCGACCTGGAGCCAATCCTGCAACAGGTGAAAGAGTTGACATGCTGAAAACCCAACCCCTGCAGGGGGGTCTGGGGGGATTCTCCCCCAGGAGATTTTTTAAAATCCTAACATAAAATAAACATTCTGGTACTCTCTTGAGAAGAAAAATAAATAAATCTATTACTACACATTTAAAAAAATGAATGCCATATTATTTTTTTGTTACTTTGTTCTGAAAGCTGAACCTGCTGCTCCTCACAGAGAGAAGAGGGAAGAGGCTGTGTGAATTACTTTACATTGTGGATATGGGTGGATAGCCCCCATTGTTCTGTGTGTCAAAATGAAAGACAGCCCACACACCTATCAATCATCAAACCGTGGGGTCTTATTTCATTACGTGTTGATTTCTATCAACACGTAATGTTGTATCGATGTATAGAGATGTACTACCACAAAAGTATTCTCCGTCGGGACTTCCTGCAACAACACCACGCCGTTATCGTGATTCTGATTGGCCAGAAGACATTATCAAAGATGTTCTATTGAGAAGACGATCACTACGTGACAAAAGTTTTCAAAACCGTTTCTAGTCTTCGTATTCTTGTTTTTGGCGTGAGAATAGTTTGGGCAGCGTGAGAGCGTGAGATTGAGAGTGAAAGCGTGTGTCACACGCCAGATGCGTGAGAGTTGGCAACCCTGCAGATGGCATGAAACCAACAACCACAGAGGTCCTCCCAGCCCCAAAGGCCATCATTGAGATGGTCCAATGCAGATGTAAATCTAACTGTTCTTCTGTAAGATGTTCCTGCAGACCTAATGACTTAGCCTGTACTGATGTGTCAGTGCAGTAGCCAGTGCCAGAACGACGATGATTCCCATGCCGTGATGGATGAAAGTGTTGATGATGATAGTGATGATGCATAGATGTGTATACATTTAGATGTCTAATGAAGAAGGTTGCTTCTTTTCTGTGGTCACAAAATGTGCATGTCATGATGATACTGAAGTTCACAATTTTAAACTCAGTTTAATCAGTTAATGTCAATTATCTGTTAAGTCCTCAATAAAAGTTATGTTAACATGCAATTTAGTGAGTTATACCTAATTATTGTTGGCACCATTGGATTCCTTGATCCTGAAAATGTGGGTTTAGCAGTTCAAATCAATGTTCAAGTCAAGATATTACAAAACCTACATTTTACGGCAGCCATTTTGGAAATTCCAATATGGCCGCCATATAAACACCTGGGCAAATGGAAACATGGATTTTCTGAATCCTTATACAATATCCTTTCCAAAAATGTATAGTATTGCAAATCCCCACAAAAATCCCACAAAAGTATATAGTGAACCTGACTCTTAAATGTTCTCCACATTGACAAACTACAACAATAAAAACCTCTTGTATGTATTTTTTTGTGACAAAAACAGGATAATATAATATTCTATAATAATAAAACACTGCAAAAAGAGCCAATCTGCATACTTCTTAATTAACTGCCACGGGCCGAGGCAGATAATTGGTCTAGCTTTTTACAGCGCCACGGCTTCCACAGATGAAATATTTGTATATATTTATTGTCAAAGCATTTAATGTATTCATTGCTATCGGGATGTTAAGAGCATTCCATGGAATATAACAAAAAGTGTTTCTGAAGTGAATTACCTACCCTACCTTTAACTTGCTGGGGGAAATTGAAAGCATAGTAGAGGCACACAATCCAAATATGAACCTGAAAATGAGCATAATGTTTTTTAAATGCAACTCCTAACTTATATAGGTTATAGAACTGGTAATTGACTTTGAAAGAGAAACAGTGCACACAATCCAAACACAGTTTCATCACTTTATTACAGTAAATGAGTCCATATCATACATACACAGAACAGAGACGGACAGGTTTGTGTTTCTTTCTCTCTCTTTCTCCATCCCTCCCTCCATCCCTGCAACACATCAGACCACCAGGGCAGAAAGACACCAACGTGAACAGCATTGGAGTAAAAACCATGAACTGAATGTGACATTTACACACAACTGAGAATCTGAAAACAAACAAAAAGTAAAATGTCTGAGATTCAGTCAACATTTCTGCCCATTGACAACTGATAGGTCCACACACGTCTCTGTAGCTCATCAAGTTCTGAATGCCATATGGCACGTAATACAAAATGCCCAAGTTGAGTACAAGCTGGATATCAAACTGTACATTTCTAGTCCAACTAACACTTTAACGATCAGGTCAGGCATGACAAAGCACTTTTTCTGAAAATGCCAGTGACCTGTTAGCTTAATCTATATCCTGTTAGCTTTTTTCTCAATACTGCACAGTAATTATATATTGCAATCTGTCACAACAAACATAGTTCTGTTCCAAAATGAGGCTTTTTCATTACGATAGCTGCTGTTTTAAGACGTTTTAGAGCTTAAGAGTATCAATTAAATCAGCAAAATGTAAGATTTTTGTCAGCTTGAACACATTTTCAGGAGTGACGGTTACAGTGACTGGGTGTGGTCTATTTACTGTAGAGAGACAAAAGGAGGGTTTTTTTACAAAACAAGGGGAGAAGGTGACCAAGGCCAAATGAAAATAATAAAACTAAGTGGGAAATCTTGAATTTGTTTAATTAGAATTAGCATTCGCCTAACAGCTCCCTCATGTAGAATCTGCAGCTTGTCAAATGTTATTTCTTTTTCAGGTATAACATGATTTACAACAATATGAGAGTAATACGAACATCATCATTTTATACCTTTTGCATTTATTACACTGTATGGATCAACAGTAGAAGTATAGTTTTGGAGAGAGATGCTGCCAACATGTCACGCCTCAGTACTTTTGATTTTGAAGAGGTCGAGCTGATGTTAAGGTGAATATATGATCCCCCAAAGTGAACACAAAGAGAGCATTTTGGAACAGAAACCCCTTAAAATGTTCATTCCACATCGAGGTGCTCCCACAGAGGACAGCGTTAGCAGCTACGTTACAATTTCCACTGGAATTCTACTAAGAAAGAGAGAGAAAGATCATCAACAAACATGAGGAGTAGGCTGAGTTTTTCTTCTTTGCTATATTTACATTTTCAATTGTGAAAGAAAAACAAATTATTTACAAAAATGCACAAACTAAGACTGCTTCATCGACAGGATGAGGGGGGGCGGGGGAGAAGATATAAACAACTCTGTAATAAAAAGTAAAAAGAGGAAAATAAAAATCAGTGATATTTACACGTGCGATAAGAGAAGGAGAGTGAGGGAGGGGGGAATGGCTTCTGAGATCGGAGGAAGAGACGAAGCAGACATGTTTGATTCCTCTGCGGGGGGGGGGTTACACTTTTTCATGGCCGCTGACAGCTCTGAGTGTGTCGCGCCCGCAGAGATAAACACGATGCTCCTGCTCTTTACAGCAAAGGAAACGGGAGGAAGGGGAAGAGAATGATGTATGCTCTCCACTCTCCTCATACAAAATCATTGTGAGTGTGGTGGAATCCAAAAAAAGCATTAAAAAAACCAAACATTGCTGCAGTTTTGAAGGTGGAGGCATGGAAGGATAGTATCAAATATACTATACTACAAGTGGTCTGCACTGCTTACTAAAGATCTGTACTGTTGACGGCTCTAAACCCTACAACACTGGCTGTTCAGACTGCACGTTGGAGAATGGTCACACACATCTGGACTTCAATATTTGAGAGACTCTGATAATACATCCTCCTTAACCTGTATATGCTGCTTTTTCTCACTCCTAATTGGTCCTCACAAAGATAAAAGTACAAGGAGCACACAAACACAGTCACCAAACAGGAAGTCCTCTGCTTCCAATTCATGTTTAACTATATTCACATTAAGCCTTCCACTCTCCTGTGTTTTTGTTTTGAAATTGTTCACATATTTCCAGTGATGGGAGTAAAGTAGCTGCGACATTATAATGCCCTCCTCGGCTGAAATGAACTGACTCCATCACAAAAACAAATAGATGAATTTACATGAAGTACCCCACCCTGTCGAGTTTTAATAAAACATTGAATCCTCCATCCCAGCATTATTCAGTTGCATTTAAATCAACATTCACCCAGCTCCTACATAGGCATTTCTTTCCTACACTAACATCAGGACAAGAAGTCTTTTTATTTGAGCTAAAATGGGAATTTCCTCAAATTGACCTTTTGATTAGAGAGCATTTTTCTTAAATCTGACAATACAGTTTAAGGGATCTTTAGGCTTAGTACACCTTTATACCGTGTCAAGTATTATATTGTGAAATTAAAACACATTTAAAAACAAGCCTATTGTTTTTTATGTATAAATACATGTCAACAGGGAGCCAACAAGTAAATATATTTACCACATTTAATTATTTTCGAAAGCTTTAAAATGTTTAAATGTAAAACAAATCAGACTTTTTAAAAGCAGTTGCCATATTTCAAAATGTTTGACTTATTAAAAACATTTTGACCACATGGAAGTTACATTTCTTTGTTTTGTAGAAATGTTTTTCTTTCTAAATTTAGTTTCATTCAAATGATTACATTAAAGCAGATTTGAATGGAACACACCTTTAAAGACTTTCTGAACCCAGAGGTGGACTCGGTTTTCTTTCTTGGCGGTTGGAAGAGCCGTACATTTGGTTATTGTCTTTAGCAAATAAATTCTGGAGCAATTTCTATAAGAAGCATTGATGTTGCGATACAGAATCTACTTAAATAGACAAGCTTCAATATCAATTTATGTTTTTTTATTTCAATTATTTAGGACAGTTTGCATCTAATCCTCAATTGAAAACCAATGTCTGTAAGACAGAACAAGCAGCGCACCTAACAGCGTCCAGTAATGTCCCACTACTCACATTATGACCTTTTTTATGTTGTTTGCTTCTTTTCTAAATCTGCACATCCACACTTTCTTCACAACAGGTCTAAACTAATGTATTGCTGATGAACAGAGGCAGGGTTAAGGAATATTTATCTGGATATAATTATATCCCAAAATAATATAATAACACATCTGCCCTAATGGAAGTACGATTGATCTTTTAAAAGACAACTGTGAATATGAAGGGGAACTAAATCTTTGGAGAATATCGGTAGATTGGAAATCTGGGAGAAAAATTAAATTAAAATCCGATAACATTTGCCAAAACTACCCGTTAACTGTTAATTAGGTACTGGCTACAAGTTGTTTTATTTAGTATTTTACACTGGAATCTTTTTAATGGCGCCCACCAATCAAAAACGCTGCTAAAAGTTCTGTGTGAAAAAATCTGAGTCCGATTTTGGGCTAATAGTATTTTTTAGGGAAGTAGAATATGCTTCTCCCACTTAGGGCGTGATGTTTTTTAAATGCCAGGTTAAGCAAAGTGAATCCATACAAACGTATTATTAACATACTACATGTTTAAGAGAGGGACAAACTTAGTATTGGAACGGTTAGACAATAGGAAGTGGTATTAGACCATTTTGAACCAAACAATGTGAAACATGGTGACACCAGTCCAGTCTGTTCAGAGTAATGCAGCCACTGAACACATTCACCTCCAACCAAACACTGCGACCTGCTACTGATGAGGTCTCCTACCCTACCTGCCACTTCATTCAAGAAGACTTCAGACCTAACATCAGGCTGGGCTGGTAAAATAATGTGGCTGGAGGATTAAGGGATTTATTATTCCCTGCATCCACTCTCCTGCCCTGAGTTGAATAAAACATCCTTTACCCTGATGACCTGTGGGGGCCAGTTCTGATCTCGGTCAGGCGGTGTACAGTTCAGATGCAGAGAAACTGAAGCGTATAAAAAAATAATCTGAATAATAAAACAAAAAAAACCTTATATAGACCAACTGTTGTGTGACCACATGACGCTTTCAATTTGCCAAATAAATAAAAACACAAATATTAAGAAAAAAAAAAAGTGAATTTAAAAAAACGTTTATATTACAGAGGACCAGCCCCCACTATTGAACCTTCACAGACCACCCGAGCAGCAGCGAGATGACTGTGTTTGTGTGTTTAACAAACACCTGCCATGGTTTGGACCCTGGCAGCTAAATAACTAATGTTTGTTTGTTCAATGCATTTACTGTACAAAAACAGATCATCTAAGAGGAGAGCAAGCAGCATGGAGGAAAGCAGGAGTGTGTATGTGTGTGTGTGTGTGTGTGTGTGTGTGTGTGTGTGTGTGTGTGTGTGGTTGTGTGAGAGCGTCTGAGATAAGGGTGAGGCTGGCAGGCAGGTGGGAAGCTGCTTCAGATGCTGTTCAGAGATCCTGGTACTGAGCTGTGTTGAGAAGAATCTGAACCAGTACCATCTGAAAAAGAGGAAACAAAGACAGTCAGTGTCACGGTTCAGTTGACAAAGGACCTGACAGCAACTTTTTTTTATATCTCTAAGCCTAATTTAAGACAGATGTAACTAAAAACATAGTTTGAAAAGATACATAAATGTGTTATTTAAGTTACTTTTTAATATCATTTTTATGAGAGGAAAGGCTTTAAATAGGACAACCCTTTTATGGTTGGAATAAAGGACTGTAAAGGTATTTGGAATCTTGAAAAAGTATTTGTTCACATTGGTTGAAGAGAGTGGTCGATTATAATCAGTGTCTCCTTATTTTAGAACCAATAAGGTATTTAACCGACAATGTGTGCATTCAGAAATCTCTTATTTCTGAACCAGTATTTCATGTCTATTCAGTTCATGACAAGTATTTCATATGGAATACTGCCATCTTGTGTTAGAAAACACCATCAATCTGGTTACATCAAGACATATATAGTTACAGAGCCGCTGACTACAGTGGTTGCCTCTGGGGCGAGCCAAGCCCCCAGACCCAATCAAAGAACAAAACTAAATTGTTTATTTACCTAATTGTGCACTGTTTAATTTCAGCACAGTGTTATAGTCTCCACTATGATTGCGGTCATTTAGAGTTGGGCTAGTTTCTCTCCTCTCCTTTTCCCTCTCATATGCTTTACAGAGGGTGGAGCTTTTCACAGGAGCTCTGTTTAAACAATGTGAGGTTAAAGTGCATGCAGAAGGAAATTAAACTGTGGCGATATAATTAAATGTGTTAAATCAATTTAATTATACATTGTCACTCGTCTTGATTTTTCTTGCAATAGTTTTCAATTTCCACCAAATCTTAACACTTTTTGTTCATCCGCTAGATAACAATGATATTTCAGTTCAATTATAAAAACATTAACAGAATAGTTTCTCACCGTGGGCGGAGGCAGCTGAATGGGAGCGAGCGTGAGGAGGAATGAGGGTCGAGTTCAGCTGGGGCTGGATGGACAGCTCTGCAGGGAATAAAGAGAGTTTGATATTTAATGATGAGTCATATCAGGAGGAGAGCTTCACACAACAATAGGGTAGTGTATTTATTTCACCTCCACTGAGTTTCAGCATTGCCCAAAGCAAAGCAGCAGGCACCACCTGATTGTATTTCTCTGAACAGATGGTGAGGATTTTGACAGTCAACACAGACCGTCATTGTGACATGATTAAAACGAAGACCTCTTCTGTGTATTTCAATGTGTTACTATTCAATCACAGAGGCGGCTACAGGGTCGCAAAACGTTGAAGGCTCTCGTTGTTTGAAAAGCAGAAGTGTTTTGCAAGTTGAACCAGCTGCGAACCGAACTAGCCCCAGCAAAGAGAGAGAATGGAACCAATTTCAGTGGAAATGGGTAACAATGTACCTGTGGTGCTGAAGTTGAACAGCATGGGCAGGTCTCGACCGCTGGGCAGTCGTGTGTTGGGCTGGCGCAGCTCGTCGAAGAAGGCGTGAGAGCAGGCCTCTAGAGGGGAGAACCGCGAGGCTGGCGTGTACTCCAGCAGCCGGGAGCACAGAGCGATGGCCTCGGGGGGGGTGCGGGGTTTAAACACCTGAACGACAACAAGAGTTTAAAATGATTTCCACAAGAGACAACATCAAGCCTCAAATTAAATAAACAAGTATTATTTTTCAGTTTAATTTGAGCAAATTGTAGAACCCCAGAAAGAAAAAACTAAAAAGCCCTTACAGAAGAGTTCTGAATATACAAAAAGAATAAGCAGGTATTAAAGTAGAAAGCTATCTGCTCTGTAGTAAATGTTTAAGGGCCACTTCTCTTGGTTTTACGTTGCTGCTACTCTTGAGGTGTCAAAGGGTTAATCGACTTTCAGAAGGAGGGCACTAAAGCCCTTCAACTCACAGATTTAAATAGACTGAGTGGGCAACAACACGGCCACAGGTACTCTCAACATTTGTTCTGATACACTGCTGTTTGACACACACTTTTGGAATAAAGACCTTTGTATATATACAGAAGAGAAGAATTCCTCTACCTATAACAGCACCGAATATGCCAAAAATATACAAAATATTGCTCTGTTTACCGATTTTCTTTCTCAATTTCCATACTTCCATGCATGGATTCATTCTACATGTCAGACATAAGGGGCCTGGTGAATACTGAGAGACTCTCCTGCTGGTTTGTCCTCAGGTGTTGTTCTTACCTTGGTCCATGGATGAGCTTTGATCTGAGGAAACTTGAACTCTGTGTAGTTTGGATTCATCTCTCGGATTTGTTCCCTAGTTGGGGTTCCTAGCACCTGAGAATAGAAGAGTATCAGCAGAGTTTCTATAGACACATATAGATGTGATTCACTGTGATTATTCTAGCAGTCTTTCATGATACCAATTCTTCAAAACAAAAATAATAAGCTATCACAATCTGGAATAATATCGTTCCGTGACACTCACTGCAAACAGGAATTACAAGTGGCACTATGATCAATTCAGCAGAGAGATATCTAATAATAAAACTACTAACTCACTACTGCATATATTGAAATATAGAAGTTATATATTGTAGTACAATGTGAACATTTTGATTTTAACCTCTTGTGTTTATTAAAATAATGTTATTTGATCTCTTTTGGATATCCTTAATGTCACTTTATATGTTTATGTAAATATTCATATTCTATTTTATATCCCACATTACTTCAACTTCTTATGTTTTTAAACACACTCACCTTGATAATCTCTACGAGCTGGTCCACCCCGCTGTCCCCGGGGAATATGGGCTGTCCGAGCAGCAGCTCAGCCAGCACGCAGCCTGCTGACCAGATGTCGATGTTTGCAGTGTAGTCCGTGGCACCAAAGATGAGCTCAGGTGCACGATAATACCGCGAGCAGATATACGACACGTTGGGTTCACCGCGGATCAGCTGCTTGGCGCTAAGGAAACACAAGAAATCAAGGTGTTGAAAATGTGATCTATTGTGGAGGGAATCAAGAGTTGTGAAGTTTTTTTAACTTAACAATTTGATATGGTCAAACTTGTTCAAGTCAAAGAAGATAAAGAAATAAATATTGCTGTGAGATACAAAGATGGCAACAAGCAGACCCTGTGATCTGTATCAGACAATAATGCTTACAGTGATCAGCCCTTTAAATCCTTATTACCCTTTTTAAGAAGTAGGTCTGCCTCTTTTTATACAATCCCATCATGCCCTTGGGCTGTTTGAAGTCCTAGACGTGAATGAACCTATTCATACGTTATATGTCGATTAGATACATTAGGCAATAGATACAGATCAGTTTAATTTAGGGCTGTCAGTCGATTAAAATATTTAATCGCGATTAATCGCATGATGTCCATAGTTAATCGCGATTAATCGCACATTTTTTATCTGTTCTAAATGTACCTTAGAGGAATATTTTTCAAGTTTTTAATACTCTTATCAACATACGAGTGGACAAATATCAGGGTTCTTACACCTTTTCCAAAGTCAAATTCAAGCACTTTTCAAGCATTTTCAAGGTGCATTTTCAAGCTTTTCAAGCATCTTACAGCAGTTGTAAATTACATATTTATATACACATACTTATACTCAAATGATTATTTCCCTACCTCACATTAAATCAGATGTTCTTTATGCTATAAACAACCAAATGTGTGTTTCATAATAGCATTCTACATGAGGATGAAAAATGTAAAATGTTAGAAAAGAAAACTAAGTTTAATATTTCAAAATGTGTGACCTATCTGTACGTAGACTGGGCATCCCATATAACCTGGCTGAGCCAATATAAAACAATCAGCCAAATAACCTTTCAATACATTATTGATTACTATTTTTGAGGTACTTTTAGGTTGGCAGTAAACACAAGTCAGAGGTAAATGGTGTACTTTGACTCCACTACATGTATTTAATACCTTTAGTTACTTGACAGATGTGGATGAATGATGTGAAATATAATCAAGTGTTAAATCAGACTTTAGTTCCACCTGGAGTAAATTCACAAGCTACCCTGCAGTATACAAAGTCATTCAAACTAGCTGCACCTTTACCAGCTTTGAGAACACTTTCATGATCAATCATTATAAAACATATCATATATAATATTTAGGGATGCTCCGATCGCCAATTTTGGAGCCGATCGCCGGAATCAGTATCGGCCGATACCGATATCGCTCTCTTTTCCTCTCTCCCCCTCTCTCTCTCTCTCTCCTGACAGCCCGTCAGTATCTCCTGCAGCTCACTGATCCAGTAATGAGCGACCCGACAGTAAAGAATAAATATATTTATAACTAGTTTAGCTTGTTCCAGAGGTAGATAAAATAGCTAAGTGTGTTAGGTCTAACTCTTAATGTGTGTTCTGCTCCGCTCACCGGTCCGTCACAGCGGGTGGAGCTGCAGGATTTCTGCTTCACACACACGTTGCATACCGCTATTTTATTGTCATTTTCGGACACTTAAAATACTGCCAGACTAGTGAAGCCATTTTGGCGAGCTTGTTTTGCCGCGCACAGAGAAAAGTGTCATGTATTTTACATGCAACGATAGCCTAATCTAAAATGCTCTACTATGGCGTACCTTTCGTGTGGTGTGTGGCTCGTCAGCGCAGACTCTCGCATCGTTATTGTTGCACACTTTGCAGGAGGCTACTCTTGGGCTTCGCTTGACCCTCGTCTTAGCCATGGCTTGTATTTGTCTTCTGCTAGCCAACGCTCGTTGAAACGGCAACCTCCTGGCATACTGTCATCTATCACTCTCATCAGAATGCCCAGGTCATACACGTAACAAAAACACTTGCCGGTCACGCGCATTGCGCGGGAAGGCCGGAGCGGAGCTGTTTTATGTAAAAGCGAAGCAATTAAGCGCGCTCCGACTTCTTTATTTTCTTTTAATCTAAAAAGCGAGGTAAAGCATTTACAATTTCAAGCACTTTATCCCAAATTCAAGCACCATTCCCAAAATTCAAGCACTTTTCAAACCTTGAAAACACCTCGTACAATTTCAAGCATTTTCAAGGATTTCCAGCACCCGTACGCACCCTGAAATATGCTTTATGCAAATGTTTGTTTATTATCATTGGAACAATGACACATATTCTCCTGAATATTCTCAACACAACAACCTGGAACCTCTCTCTCTCTCTCTCTTACACTCTCTCCCAACCCTGTGTACTTCTCTGCACTGAGCCAGTTGCTCAAACAGACAAGCCTGTTTACAGTTGTCGGCGAAATGCCGCTCCTCTGTCTTCATCTTCAGTCAAAGCATGAGACTGAAGTTCCCACTGTGGGTCAAAATAATGCGCTGTGATGTGCAGTCGACAAGTTGGATGCGATCCGAATGATCTAACGCAGCCCCTCGTCCTCCACAATGTTAAGCTGTAGCCACCCATTTAGTTATCGCTGTTGTTGTCCAGGTGTCTCCCCGGCAAACTTTCAAGCGTGGTCTGCCGCAAGCGGCTGTCAGCATCAGCTGTGTGCTTGGCTTGCTGTTTAAAACACCTTTTTTTGTATCCATATCTCTCGCTAGAATCTTCCACCATCCAACTAACAACAACGACGTCGTCAAGCTTTTGGGCTCTGAAACTACGGGGCGGGCCAAGGACAAATACACATGCGTTAATCGCACGTTAAAATAATTAGTGGCGTTAAAAATGTTTTGCGTTAATGCGTAACATGACAGCCCTAGTTTAATTACGTTTTTTTTTTACAAACAGAAACATCTTTATTTTTGCTGCTGTTAAAAAATATTTTACATCTGGTAATGCATCTCACCTGCCAAAGTCACACAGCTTGAGGATGGCAGTTTCTGGGTCTACAAGCAAATTTTGGGGCTTGATGTCTCTGTGACACACGCCTTGGGAATGGATGTAAGCCAGACTGCGGAACAACTGGTACATGTACACCTGCGGAGGTCACAACATAAGGAAAAAAACAGTTATAATTAAAAAAAATACAAAACAACAATTTGTTGCCGATTTTACAAGAGTTTAAAAATAGTATATAAAAGTTGCACGCCAACAACAAATTCCTAGACTTACACAAACATTTCACATTACTTAGACAACACAGAATGTCTTTGTAGTAAAAGCAGATAATTACCTTCACATATATGATAGGAATGATGCTCTTGGCCTTGTTAAAATGCCTGGCAACCCTGTAGACCGTCTCAGGTACAAAGTCCAGCACCAGGTTGAGATACACTTCATCTTTCTGTACAGCACAGGGCAGAGAGAGGTCATTTTGGATTTAAGAAGCCCTGCTCATAGTTTTAAGTTGACAGTGATTTTATAGTGCAAAGCATTGGGTGCCTCATATGGAACTATCCAATAGGGCTGTGCAATTAATCGTTTTTTGTTTTTTTTAAATCGCAATTACGATTTTGGCCTGCCACAATTACAAAAACAACATAATCGAAAAAAACAATTATTTTGCTTTGCTAGGTTGTGACAGTGCACTGCAACATATTTGATCTAATTTATTTTATAGTCTAATTTATTTATCATATTTATTAGCTTGTTGAAGTGCGCTCCAAAATATTTGTTGATCTTTTTTTTTTAAATTGGTATTTATTATTTTTGATATTAATTTAAATGTATCATTTATTTTATTTATTGGTTTTTCAGTGCAAGAGATCCAAAATGGATTTGTATGACCACCTATATTAATACGTTAAAAAAGTAGCGGCCACTGTGCTGTGTGTGTCTTTCACGACGAGGAGGGGTAGAGAGCTGCTGTTTATTTCTGTAAGTACACTTTATTGCAGATAGAAAATATGCTCAAAAATCCACCCTCCTGTGTGAAACAAATGCACCTTCATTGTATGTATTTTTGTTGGCTGTTAAGTTTGCCAGTGTCCGTGTTGTTATGGTCATGATTTGGACTCTGTCATCGACTAGAATAGCAACAATATTTAAAACGATATATTTATAGTTGTTGTTCTTGTTTTTGACAGGCCTCAACTGTGCAGGCCACATTTATGCTGTCTAGTTAAGTATGTTTGTAATGCACTTGAGTATGTTTGCCTGCATGTGCGCCCACTTGGTCCCTGAATATGACCATGCTATTTGATTTTCTTGCACAAAACAAAAAAAAACATGAGCTGTACCTTCTCTCCACTGGAGTAGAAGAAGAAACGTAGTCTGACAATGTTGCAGTGGTCCAGCTTCCTCATGATCTGAAGTTCCCGATTCTACAAAGACAAGAAAACACATTAGTGAGGGGGAAATCCAGAGAACAGACAGAGCATGGGAAGATTTCTTTAAAAAAAGAGACATTTTAGATACATAGAACAAACTGCCAACACGTTTAAATCAGCTTTAATAATTAATATAAAATATTTGGGTTTTATCATTATTGTACATTTTACTTTAATTGCAGTCTTACATTAACTTATTTTTACATTATTTTAATTTGAGTTCATTCTAAAATGGAGCAACTCTCACAAAAAATGTCCCCAGGAAAATACAAGTGTTCTGTTTGTGAATCAGCTTTAATAGTTGATTATAAATCTTAAAAATAAATCTTTATTGGTCGTTTTTACGTAACCTTTTTTTGGTTTACATATTTTTTTTCTTCTATTTTAACCATTTTTAAACTAATAAAACTAAAACACCTTCCTTTCATCTGTCCAAAAAACAGATGAAAGGAAGGTGTTTTAAACAAGCTTAGGTCATGAACAAGAGAACATGTGGATGAATATTACCTTGAACCTCTTATCCTGCAGGACTTTCTTAATGGCCACCATCTCTTGGCTGTCGATGAGGCGAGCTTGGTACACCACACCAAACGACCCATTGCCAATCACCTGCAATGTTTTCACAAAAGAGGGAACAGTCATATGCTGGACTGGAGAAATCAATGAACGTGATTTATAAGGCTATTGTTATTAACTTCTATATATACAATTAAAGTGTGTTTTGTCAGTGCCGCTTTGACAACAGAATTAAAAACTTAATTTAGTTTTTGTTAGTTGTCAATGTCTAAAGTGATGCAACCAGTTTAAAGTAGGACACTAGCAAATTGTGATATTGGTTTAAGAAGAGTGCCATGTTCACCATGTCACATTTTCAGGTCAGACGCAAGATAACATCAGCAGTGAAAGCCATAAATGTCAGCGCGTGGCGAAGTGATTATGGAGCCACTGGTATTGATCAACAACCTTATCATCTTCAGCCAGATAGATTGCAGTCACGTTGTGTAATGAGGTCATAAAGGTCTTCGTTACAGCAGCAGATTATGTTATAACATTGTACTTAGTCATAAAAACGTTCTTCTTCTTCTGATGACACTGGTCCTTGCTCACCTTGATGTCAGTGTAAGAGACTTCCTGTGGGCGGTCCGGTCCCTGACCTGGTGTGGCCACGACTGTCGTCACCTTCCCACTGTCTCCTGGAAAACAAACAGGAAACAGTAATTAATATGAGGCCATGGGATATATAGTGGTGCAGTGATAACATATGTGACCTGCTCTATCGAAATCAGTCGCATTGACCCGAAGACACATTTTGAGTTGTATACACTGTTGGAAAGAGGAGATTCCTAGCTTTCTAATGATATCAAGATTTTTGTTGTACTCCAAATATTAAGCAAAATACGTCACATTATATAATGACTGTCACCGAGTCATCATTTTGAGAAAAAGGCCTTCAAAGTTTCCTCTTCTCTGGAATCCATCGATCTGATTGATTATTAGCGGAGCAAATGATCAAAATAGTCCGGAGGGAAAATATTTCCGTTTGGATTACTGGTCTGGGGGAAGCTCGCGAGTGTGTGAGTGTATGTGTTTGTGTATTTTTGCGTTTGTGTATATTGTGTTCGTTTCCCGGGGAAAAGACTCACGAGAAACACCGGCTGTTGTTATGCTTGCTGTGACGTTAAGTTACTCCGTTTTCCGCTTGTAAATATGCCGTTACAAGCTTCATAGTCAGGTGTGCACATAACTTTTTGAGTGAGTTACTCAGATGAGTACCAGGAGACAGCGTTTGGTACTCACCCCACATGAAGCGTGGTGTTAATAAGTGCAGTCTTCCTCACTGTCCTCCTCAGTGTCTCCTTCACTGTCCTCTATTTACACTTCTTGCATGCTAGATGATGAAGATGATGAAGATGCATCTCCCTGTCTCTTTGTAAGCCTCCAATTTGCTTTCTCCAAAACTTGTTGCCAAAACTGTGAAGTCCTTGCATTTCCTGAGGCCAAGTTGAAGGATCAAATACTAAGAAATTATCACATGACTTGAAGTCATATCTGATTTCAGAGGTGGGAAGTAACAAAGTACACTTAATCAAGTACTGTACTTAGGTACAATTTAAGATACTTGTAGTTTACTTGAGTATTTCTATTTTATGCTACTTTGTACTTCTACTCCACTACAGTTCAGAGGTAAATCATGTACTTTTCTTCCACTACATTTATTTAATACCTTTAGTTACTTTACAGATGTGGATGAATGATGTGAAAATATAATCAAGTGTTAAATCAGACTTTAGTTCCACCTGGAGTAAATCCACAAGCTACCCTGCAGTATACAAAGTCATTCAAACTAATTTTTAAACACTTTAATGATCAATAATTATAAAACATACCATATACATTATTATGAAATGGACCAATCTGCAAAATGACTACTTTTACTGTCGCTACTTTAACTAGATTTTGATGATAATACTTTTCTAATTTTACTTGAGTAACACTTCTTCCACCTCTGTCTGATTTCAAACTCTTCCATTAACAGCCTGAGTAAGTTTGCAGCTGTGTGTTTTACTCCACTTTGTTGTAAATAAAACTGCAGCAGCTTGACCACAGAGCGTGAACGTTGTGATCAGCTGATTTTGCGCAGTTCTCCAGTGTGTGCGCGGGGCACAGAATGTGCACAGGGGAGTCTCCCACCGCAGCCAGTTGACGTAGTTTTGGTACAATTCTGTTGTACACACCGACGTTAACAGCAGCTCCGTCTGTGCACACGGCGACCAACTCTGTCGTCCAGTGATCTAAGCCTCTGCCTCCTGTGAAGCTTCACAGGTCCGTCGGTTATGTCCTGCGCGGCACGGCCAGCACCCAGTTCAATCAGTCATAGAAAGTCTGAAGATTTTAGCAGGGAGCGAAACGGCAAAGTGGCTGCTTAATGTCTTTGTTTTTTTTGGACATGTCTAATAATTTACTCCACTGAGTATTGACAAGAAACATGTGTAGGCGAAATATGTGTTTTGTTTTGATGACCTATCAGGTACGCAAAGGCGCGTTGTGACACAAGTGACGTTACGCATTTCAGATTGTTGCCGCGCATGCGTACCTGCGTACCAGTTATGTGCACCCCTGTTCATAGTTGTATTTATCATCTAAATTTGCCGAAACAAGTTTAATATTCTGAAAGCCAAGACTTTGTTTAATTGAAATCAGATGAAAACAAACTGTAACGGACCCTGCCGTGTTATCTATGATTACTATACCTTACATTCATAATTTCAGCCGGAGGGAGGGGGAGCTACGCTACGGAACAGCAGATTGCGATTGAGAGGTGCCTGTCATCTTCCCTTTACAAGCTTCACAAATGTATTTATCGTGTGATTTTGGAAATAAAAGTTTCATATTCTGAAAGCCAAGACTTTGTTTATTTAAAATCAAACAAAACACCCGAACCCCGAAAAAATAGTTTTTTCCGCAAATCCACGTTTATTTTGAAATGAGCCGTTGCGACTTCCGACTGATTTCGATAGAGCGGGTCACATATATTAGTAGGCCGACACGGAATTTAGCTTCACATAGGCTACCCTGACCAAAAGCACTGGGATTTCTTCATTGGATTTTGGAATATTGCAGTAAATAAGATCTCTGGCAAACACACATTTATGGTTGAAACATACATTTCCCACATACGTTTCCCACAGAATTTGATTCCATTTGTGGGGGCACTGCAACCCCCCCCCCCCGGCAAGAAAAGCCAAAGGCCCCTTAACCTATTCGGGTGGCCCACGCATCCATCCCCCCTTCAAATAACAAAATACATGCGAGTTCATGGCTACTGTAGCAGACAACGTTGCGCTGTTAATGAGTGAGACACACCGGAGTTGAGGATCTGTGGGGTTTATTCTCCCAAAAATATTATTTAGGCATTTAGCAGACGCCTTATTCTAAAGCGACTTACAATGACCAATTCCAGGGACATTCTCCCTGGAGTAACTGAGGGCTAAGTGCCTTACTCAAGGGCACACTAGTGGTGGTGTTGCAGGCGGGATTTGAACTCGCAACCTTCATCATCAGCCCACCTAACTATCCATTAGACCAGGGGTTCCCAACCCCCGGTCCGCAGACCGGTACCGGTCCGCGGAGGTGTTACTGCCGGGCCGCGAAATAGCTGTGAGTTTATCGTAATATTTGCAGAATTATAAATATATAAAAATATTTTATCATAATATTTTTTTCAAAAAGTGTTTAATTTTCGCACCTATGCCACCAGTCATATTATTTCATCCAGTAGCTAGTTAATCTTTCACCAGAAAATCGTTGAAAATGGCTTTTATGATGTTCCGAGGGATTCGGTGGCTCAGCCTAGGTCTCTGCCTCTTGTGCGCACGAGCATGTTACCGGTGCGCCAAGTAGGAAGAGGAGCACACAGGAGACAACCGTTTGATTGCAGACTGTTATGTTTATGTGGGGAAATGGTGGTGCATACATTATTTGAGATATATTTCAAACTCGGACTTCATTTTAAGGACATGTCGGCCAGGGGTGTAGACTAGAGGGAGCTATTTGTTTAAGCACCGGATTGGCAAAACAGGAGAGTAAACCAGTCTGCCTTGATCTATGAATTAATGTCCGGGACTCTCACGGTATCTGCTGCCCGCAGCTGTTTATAGAAGGAAACCCTCCTTCACTTCATGAAATGGCTGCAGCATCAGGAGGCAGCGGGACGTACTCGGTAAAGAGCTGTGCCTTTTTACGCACCGCCTTCGCTGTGTTTAACTTAATCAGAACAGTTTAAGAGTGACTGCAGGCTGCTACGTGTTAACCACACACACATCTACACACATCGAACTGCCCGATTACTCCCCCTTTTATTAGTTTTATGAAGGAGATGTCCAGTCAGTCACCAAGGCGCATGATGTGTGTGTGTATGTGCTCTGCTCAGCTCTGTGTGTTCGTGTCTGTCCGACACCGGCATATATGCGGCTGTTCCCAAAATAAATTAGTTTAATCTTAATCTCGATGTAGTGCTAAATGCTGTCGGGAGTGCACCGGAACGAACGACACTATCATAATATCTTCTGAAAACACACACACACCAGAGCACCACACACAACACACACCACACAACACACACCACACACACACACACACACACACACACACACACACACACACACACACACACACACACACACACACACACACACACACACACACACACACACACACACACACACACACACACACACACACACACACACACACACACACACCACACACACACACACACACACACACACACACACACACACACACACACACACACACACACCACACACACACACACACACACACACACACACACACACCACACACACACACCACACACACACACACACACACACACACACACACACACACACACACACACACACACACACACACACACACACACACACACACACACACACACACCAACACACCACACACACACACACACAATTTATCTGTTTTCCCGTTTTGGTTTAAAAACTGAATAACGTCGGTTTTTTGGTTTTCCGAAAAACCAAAAAACAACACCGGTTCTTTTTTAAACTTGTTAATATGTTTTGGATGCATATTGTTCTAGTATTTGTTCAGGCTGTTACATACAATTAGCCTCTGTTGCTACCTGCTGGTGGTGAGTAAATATTAAAATCAGTTAAAATTGACAACCGGTCCGCGATTTTTTTTTAATGTATCTACCGGTCCTTGGCACAATAAAGGTTGGGAACCCCTGCATTAGACCACCCAAAGACAAATTAAATACAAAAAAAAAATTAATAATTAAAACAATTTTTTTACGAGATCTATTTGTGGCGGACGATATTTAATTGTGGCGGCCCGCAACAAATGAATCAATGTATGGGAAACCCTGCATTTTATGAAAGCTGAACCATAAATACAATTGGCAGAGATGAAAAGCTAACGTTAGGCTATAAAAAAAAAACGACATGATGGCCACATGACTTCACGTCAGCACCACTAAGCCGTGGATCAAGCCCCCAGGAAGTGCGCCGGACTCTGTGCCCAACATTCGTTGTGTCCAAACGGCGGTACTGCAACATCCGTATCAGTCCGTGACGTCACCCAAAACAACTTTTTCCCCATTGACTAACATGGGGAAAGAGACGTCTGTAAATCGGTGGATATTTTTTTTTTTAAC